GGGATTGTCATGTCTAGCGGCTACGTCAAATCGTTTCTCCGCGTTTTGTCTTATTGTCTGTGTAGCGTTTGTGTATTGTAAGTCTCGTAATATGTCAGTGTTTCTTACGTACCAGGGCGCGTCGGTGGCCGTGCGGAGGGCTATGTTTTCCACAGCCTGTAATGACTTTAAGTGGCTTTTTGCCGCGTGACCCCACGCCGTGGAGGCGTAGGTTAGCTGCGGTTGAAGTACCACCTTGATAAGCGTTCGCTTATTCCTTAAACTGAGGGTGTTTCCACCTTTGAGTAAGGGATAGAGCCTAGCCCTGGTGGTCTTCGCTCGCGCCACCGTCTCCACGATGTGCGGTTTCCACGTGAGACGCTGGTCCATCGTCACGCCCAGGTATCGTGTTTGTCGATTCCAGGAGATGGGTTCCTGGGATAGTGTCAGTCTGTCAAGGTTTTGTGGGATTTTTCGTTTGGTAAAAAGGATAGCCGAACTTTTGTTGGGATTAATTTTGACTTTCCACCTGTTGCACCAGGTTTCAAGTTGGTCTAAGGAGCTTTGGAGGAGGTAGATGGAATATCTAGGATCTACGGATTGGGATGTGATTGTCAGGTCGTCGGCGTATCGATTGAAGTCGTATGTTGTAGTATGTCATTGTGTGGTATGTGGTTGAAGAAATTTAAACTACCATAAATAACAACTGATTGCGAGATCAAAAGAGAGGAAATAATAACTCCAAGTCAGATATTCAGTGAGGAAAAAAGCCTAATATTTCAATCAATGAAGAATCCTTCAGCTAGAAATCTACAATTCTGCGTGTAAACTGTAACTACTTACACCTCCCGCTTAAAGATGCCGCGGCAAGCTTTTACTCTACGATCCGCAACCGTATGCAACCACACATACACGCTTTCACTGCGTCCTGTACTTAACCTAACGATAGAATCACATAAAACTATAAATTCTAGGTGCACGAGAAACACCAATCGGAAGACGTAGAGACCGGCGAGCTAGTCAGTTCCGACGACACAGGTAAAGGAAAAACGGTCGCGACGGGGCGAAGAAGTTTAAAGACGAGACCAGTTCGAGTCTTGCTCCGTCGCTTAGCGGCCATGTCACTTGCCCTGGCCGTTCTAGTTGGTTTGGGAGCCGTTGTTTGGTATTTCTTAGGATGGGTGTCCCTGGTGCAACTGATCCTGGTAGCCGTGGTGGCCTATATCGCGGCTGGAAAATATAAGTGGCTCTACGTGGTCTTAAGAACTGCGCCGAGGGATTTGAGGTAACCTTTTTAATATTCCATTGGTCGAAAGATCGAATTTTCAGGTCAAGGTTGTAGGGGTAGAGGTGGCGGCATGAAGTATGACTATTAAGCGGGTTATTACCGTGTTTATGATTTTGTGGTTGATAAAACACTTAACAATCCGCTATGATCTATAATTGGAAGTGCCAATTATTATATAATTTGCAACATTTTTATCGGTAAACGTGCATATCATGTAAATTTGAGAATGGGTAATATTTATTAAAATCAACTTACGGCCAATTTGTGCCAAATAAATTAAAAAATTATAAATTTAAATTGCGTCAATTAATGACTGTTATTTTAATATATACTTTTCATGTCAATTTCTACTTCCTTAGGTCATTATCATTAGAGTTGAAAGTTTTAAAATTATTAGGTGAATTTATATTTTTTTGACAGAGTTTGATAACTAATTAAGCGTGCGTCACATAGTACAGTCATTGAAGCTTTTCACCTCCGAATCCTTTGAAACTGAACCGATCGACTTGAAATTTGGCAGATAGAGAAAAGGTCAATGAACATTAGTGACATAGCGCCGATTGACGCTTCCACCCTGTTGGGGGTTGACACCCCTTTTCGGGGGTGGAATTTTTTTTTCAAAAATAACGCCGGAAATAGATAATCAAATTTTGAGCAAAAAATATTCGAAGAATTTTTTCGATAAATCTATACTTTTTTAGTTATTCACGATTGAAAACTTGGAATTTTGAGTGAAAAAAAAAAACTGTTTCAAAGTATTTATCGCGAATAACTCAAAAACTACGCATTTTATTAAAAAAAGTCTAATGAACAAAAATGTAGCTTGTAAATAAACAAAGAAAATCGTTTGTTAGAAAGTGTTGTACGTCCTATACAAAGCGAAATATGGTTAGTGGATGGGGACTTGTTTTGGGGGGAATACTCGAATCGATGTATTCAACGTCAAATAACGGAAAAAGGGTTAATTTTACGTGTATAACGCTCCTGGAGTTTTTTATAGTACTCAAAAAGACCTTCAAAATGAGCACTTTATAAAAGTTAATTAGAGCAAAATTGAAGGAGTTATCGTCAAAAACAGATGGTTTGCTCATATTTTTTAAGGAGAAATGAGCAGTAAACGCTGTACCATTTCCGTCAGAATTAAAATTAATCGCAGACCCTTTACAATTAGTTTTGTTTTAGTGTTTTCATACGATCCTGAAATTAGACCGGTTTAGAATGCGTATTTTTTGAATAATGTACGGTAAAAGTTGAAAACGTATTTTTCATTATTAAAAAAAATTGCCTTATTTATATAATAACTCTGAAACTAAAAAAGATACGTAAAAAATGATAGATAACAAAAATGTAGCTTTTTTTTCAACAAATATTTTGCTTTTTTTTATTCCTATAGCATAAAAAAAACGACCTGTCTCGAGCCTTTCGATCCTTTCCCTTTAAAAAAGGACTTAAAAGGTTTTATTAGCTATAAGGTAACTTTTATTTTAAATAATTGCAAAGTATTTTTTTCATTATTTTTTGCATAGAGGTAGTCTTTAATGGTTAAATAAAGGGTCGAAAAAATCAAATATATCATAGAACATGTTCGAGAACATGGAACATTATTTAATCTTTGTGCTTGAACAAGATTTTTATCAATATGCTGAAAACTTAATTTTTTCACTTTTTTTTAACTTAGGGATAGTTTTTACCCCTAAAAACAAAAAGCGTCAATCGGGCTTATGTCACTTTTGAACTTGAGCCTAAGATGAGCCTTATTCTAAATTTTCATGCAAATCCATGCAGTTTCAAAGAATTCGGAGGTTACAGCTGAATTTCAGCTTCAATGAATGTACTAACATAATATACTTGTTTCTATAATAAACATGTTCGCCATAAATAGTTATTTTTGTATCTAGAACCTCAAATTGTATTTTTGCATTCGAAATGAAAACAATATTTTTTCGAAAACTGCAATAAAATAAGACAGTTTGCAATATAACAATTTAATTTATATTTGAAATTGTTTGAACCGTGTTTGAATCAAAACGGTTTAGGCGCGGTAACTATCTTAACGATAACGAACCTGATAAAAAACAAAAATTAGTTGTTTAAAAAAGTAGCATCAGAATTATACCGAGCGATTCACAAATGGTGACCAAAAATTATACCTCGTATTCTTTGGTGAATTTTAAGGAGTCTTTCCTATACAGTTTTTATCTAGGATGCTTCGTTAACAAGATACAGGGTGTTAAACTTCAAAAAATATTTTTAATTTGTTTAAATAATTTAAAAACTAGTAATTCAAATAAATTGAAATTGGGCACATGTATTTATGTAAACATTGTTCAAAATCTGAAGGCTTTTCCTAAAATTTACATGCTCCAGTGGCGGAGGTAAGGGTATCGGTGGCATATTTTTCTAAATAAAATGGTACGCCACTGCTTTACAGTAACAACTATGATATGTTCGGATTCGTCTTTCAACTTTCTACAAATTACCATCACTGTCTTATGTTTTTCGAAAAAAGCCTTTGAGTAAAACTTAAAATACCAACTGAAAACACTTTTACTTGAATGACAAGACAATACAAGACATACTAATCATTTAGGCGAGCGGTTCACCCTAAGGAAAAGGCATGAACCGACTAAATTTTTAAAACAAAAACCTACAGCATGAAACTTTTTTTATTTTATAGTGTATTTTTCTGATAATTTACATATATTTTTAATATTTTTCGGCGTGGTCAGTCAATTGTTATAAACAAAAATGTTGTTTTAAAAAAAATTATTCGTCGAATGGCTTTGAGTTTTTTATTGTAAAATTGACCAAAATAAACACTTTTTGCTCTTTGACAAAAATTCGAAAAACGCTTCGTTTCCGAGATATTTACAATTTAATGTGAAAAAAGTGACGAAATCGACAAATTTTCTGAATTTCCAGACCAAATGAAGATATACCGCAAATACTGTGCTTTTCGTCCGGCAATTACTAAAAGTCGAAGATTTTTTGTGAAGCATGTCGGGGAAAAATGTGTTAACCATGTGGTTGGCGTCAACAAAATAATGAAATTGGCAAAAGAAATAGCAACTTAATCTCAATTTGCGGAGACAGAAAATTCTATAAAAAATAAATTTTCAATAGCAAATAAATTCTTAAGTAAACAAACAGTTACAGCAGCAGCCTCATTGAACACCATAAATTTTACCCCTAAGAATATATCGGCGGCGTTTGACGTTGGGTAAACACTGTATTTCATGTAACCTCAAATGAAAAAATATAAAAGTTTGATATCGGGACTTTGTGCTGGCCAAAGTTTTACATTGTTCTAGTAATCGATTATCATATTCGCTAATCCTTGATTTGAATAAGGTAATTTGAAACATAACTATCAATCAATCTACAGTCGACGAAAGCAAGACATCCGTGTCCGCACCGTGCAAATAACCACACTGGATATGATCTAATTTACCAACTGCATTGTAAACAGTTAAGTTGATTGATCTGTTGATTAAGTGGGGGGTGCAGGGTCAGCCTAAGTTTCGCGTAATAATTCTTTATAAATTTTCTGGAACACGAGACACTAGACAACAGGTTACTTAATGAAAATTGTTTATTTTCATCTCTTCTATTGCTCCTTTTAAGAAACGCACTTATTTCAGGAAACCCACGCCCAACAAAAAATGCCTAACTTAGGTATTATGTGTATAGATCATTACAACTTTTTATTATTACTTTTTAATGAAAATCAATTGGAGAATAAATACTCGAAAATGTTTTCGCGACCTGTATATTTAAAAAGGATTATGTTTACACTGATAAGAAACGATAAATTACTGACAGTTAATGAAATAGTTCCATTATTGTGTAACGTCGTATGCGTGTAAATAAAATAAAACAGTAGTCTAATAAAAATATGCTGATAAATCACACCATTCGCGCTGCTGTAGGTAGCAATAAGCAGATAAAATATTCGTAGAGAAACCGTAGCTTAAATTCCCAACATAACTGTCTATAATATTCGCAATACCGGTTTTACCGTCTCATTCAACTTTATGCAAGGTTCAAGTTCATTATCAACAAAATTAATTTTGACTTGTGTTTATAGATATTGAAACGATTTGTTTTCACCACAGTGTAATACAAACCACTAATGAGTATGACATACTTTTTTATGAACAGTTTAAAGGGGGAAGGGGAGGGGAGGGAGTGGCATAGGGGGTGGTTAACAATTGTGACTTTGAGCATTTTATAGGCGAGCGGTTCACCCTAAAAAGATGCTTCTAAACGAAGGTAACCGACTAAATTTTTAAAACAAAAACCTACAGCATGAAACTTTTTTTATTTTATAAGGGGTATTTTTCTGATAATTTACATATTTTTTTATATTTTTCGGCGTGGTCAGTCAATTGTTATAAACAAAAAAGTTGGTAAAAAAAATTACTCGCCGAATGGCTTTGAAACAGTTTTTTAATGTAAAATGAACCAAAATAATCACTTTTTGTTCTTTGACAAAAATTCAAAAATTACTTCGTTTCCGAGATATTTACAATTTAATGTGAAAAAAGTGACGAAATCGACAAACTTTCGGAATTTTTTTCTCAAAAACTACTAAACAGAGTTTAATTCTAAAAAAAGCATAATAATCGGCAGATCTTCTATTTTAAGATATATTTTTTTGGTATAGGTCAATTATTTTATGCGAGTAAAAAAACAGTATTTTAAAGAAAATCAAAATGGCAAATAAGTGAATGGAAGCAGGCTACAAATAGTGAAATTGTAACTCTAGATCCATTGTCACATGGATGGAAACTCGAAAATGGTTGTTTGGATTATTTTCAAGGAGAAACTGCGTTAGATATGCTTAAAAAATATGTTTGTTCATGTAGTGGAAAATGTTCTATGAAAAATTGTAACTGTTTGTTACCGAACCTGGAATGCTGTGTAATCTGTGCGTGCTCAGATGAATGTCAGAATGTTCCATAAAATTGATGATGAAACGTTTATTTCAACTCAAGAAGTTGTCGAAAATAACGAAAAACTTATTATTTAAAAATTAAATAAAAAAGAAATTAATATACTTTTATTGCTCTTAATATTTTTGTAAAATAAAAATAAAATAATTATCCTANAAAAATATTAAGAACAATAAAAGTATATTAATTTCTTTTTATTTAATTTTTAAATAATAAATTTTTCGTTATTTTCGACAAGTTCTTGAATTGACATAAGCGTTTCATCATCAATTTCGGATGGAACATTCTGACATTCATCTGAGCACGCACAGACTGCACAGCATTCCAGGTTCGATGACGAACAGTTACAATTTTTCGTAGAGCATTTTCCACTACATGAACAGAAATGCTTTTGAAGCATATCTAACGCAGTTTCTCCTTCGAAATAATTAAAATCCAAACAAATATTTTTTATTTTCCGTCCATGTGTCAATGGATTTTGGACAATTTCACTATTTGTAGACTGCCTTTTTTACTCGCTTTAGACCTTCAATAAAATAATTGACCTATACCAAAAAAATATATCTTAAAGTAGAAGATCCGCCGATTATTATGCTTTTTTAGAAGTAAACTCTGTTCAGTAGTTTTTGAGAAAAAAATTCCGAAAGTTTGTCGATTTCGTCACTTTTTTCACATTAAATTGTAAATATCTCGTAAACGAAGCACTTTTCGAATTTTTGTCAAAGAACAAAAAGTGTTTATTTTGGTCCATTTTACAATAACTGTTTTTAAAACCATTCGGCGAGTAATTTTTTTTACAACCTTTTAGTTTATAACAATTGATTGACCACGCCGAAAAATATAAAAAAATATGTAAATTATCAGAAAAATACACTATAAAATAAAAAAGGTTTTATGCTGTAGGTTTTTGTTTTAAAAATTTAGTCGGTTCATGCTTTTTCTTTAGGGGTGAACCGCTCGCTTATTAGCAAGTCAGCCATATTATAAGGGAGTCGATTCTTTTTTGTTTTGTGTTTGTGTCTATGAGAGCTGCTGATTTCTTAAATTCTTTAGAATAATTCTTCTTCCTTTTTCTTTATTCTAAAGAAGTGGATTGAGCCAAGTGTAAAATTACCATTATTTGCTTAATTTTAAAGGAAATCATTATATTTCCCTTCTCTATTTCTGACGTGAAAATTAAAAGGTTATTTTCGTGTGATGTTCCTATAGAGCAAGTTTTAAATTTATAAAAAGTGATCTCCATATTTTTACACATATAATTGAAGCGTTTTTAATAGATAATAAAAACAAATCTGTTTTGTTTCTGTGACCCTGACAGTAATTATTACTTATTAAACACGTCAAAAAATACTGTTCAACAAGTGGTTTAATTCAAATGAATACTGCAACAAATACAAAAAAATTATATATTTCTTTTGTAACGTATAAACTAGAACTAGGGTTCTTCCGGGGACAAATACTGTTTTCTAAGCAAACTTACAGAAACTTGAACGAGATAAAAGTATAACTTTGTCGTTTTTAGGGCTCTGTACAAATACTTAAGGCTTATAATTCAAGTGAAAAGTTTCCAAAGGAAAAATTTAACGCTAGCGGACGTTTTCAGACAAAACGTTAAAAAACATCCGAACAAACCTTGCATCGTTTTTGAAGATCAAGAGTGGACATTTGGTCAAGTAAGTATAACATTAAAAAAAATAGTTCTCGCTTATGAAGTAGTTGATTTCGAATTCTAGCATAAACTTATGAAATTACCATTCAATAGCAAATATTGGCTTCCTAATTAATATTTAACACCTTATTGTAGCAAAATATTCAATGACTTTACACATCTTCACAATGAGATATTACTCACACTTTATTTAAAATTTAGATTATTTAGGGTTGTATTCTGTTTCTAGGTAGAGGAATACAGCAATAAAATAGCGAACTTGTTCAAAAGCCATGGCTATAAAAAAGGCGACAGAGTGGCCTTATTCTTAGAGAACAAGCCTGAATTTATCTGCATATGGCTGGGCTTATCCAAACTAGGTGTCATCACCCCTTTAATAAACACCAACCAAAGACTGAATTCACTAGTACATTCCATAAACATTGGCAAAAGTCAGGCAGTTATATTCGGCATCGAATTAGCAGACGGTAAAGTACATATTTAAAAAAACTGGACCCTCGCGAATATTTCATTGTTAACTTTGTAGCTGTGAAGGAAGTCTTGGATAAAATCGAATCTAAAGTAGCTCTTTATCAAATAAGTTGTAATAATAATGTGGGGATAGCGGATCAAAAGTTCCACAACTTAGACGTGTTGCTTAAGGATGTCCCCGATGCTCCTCCTCAGATTGCGGACAAATTGGGGCACCATGACTGTATTGTGTATATTTATACCTCTGGGACAACTGGATTGCCAAAAGCTGCTGTTATTAGCACGTCGAGGTTCGTAAACTTAATTTTAATTACTTAAATGTTTCACTTGGATCTATAAGGGCCTACTAGACTTGCCCGGCTAAAGTCTGCACCCGCTCACTGTACAGTTAATTTATGCACACGCCTTACACTTATTTTCTGTTTATTTATACATAACATATTTCTGTCAAATGTCAGAACCAAAGTCTGTAGTTCCAATAGTTATTAGTTCCATTGTTCCATGGTAGTTCCATACTAACGTTATGCGCACAGGACAAATTTCTCATTACGCGCCATCTATGGCTTGTGATCGTAATTTTATAATGGCTGGTCCTAAGAAACAAACTACTACATGGAGGAGTGTCGACGCTGCAGAGAGAAAGGGCGATACTTTGGATACTCGCTCTCTCTCTAATCGACGAGGAAGGAGTTGCTTTAGCCAATCAAGTTCCTGCGCGAGAGAGGAAGATAGTACCCAAACTATCTGTTTCTCTCTCTGTCGCTCCTCTACTCGAACACTTAAGCATTTTTCCTCGATGTAGTGTATGCTCTAAGATATCATAACAATGGTAAATCACAGATGGCGCACTGGTCAAATCGGTAATTCCCCTGCCATTTTTTTAAAATTAAATCATAATTCCAGGTACATTTTCATTGCAAGCGCGATTCATTGGATGTGCGGGTTCACGTCGAACGATCGCTTTTACACCCCGCTTCCACTTTATCACACTGCTGGCGGTTGCATGACCGTGGGCCAGATGCTTATATACGGGGCGACGATAGTCATCCGAAGGAAGTTCTCAGCATCTGGATTTTTCGCGGACTGTAGGAAATATAATTGCACGGTGAGATAACACTTTTTCCAGCACGTCAATAGTTGATATATATTTGGAATGGCATATTTGTTAACAGATCGCACAATATATCGGAGAGATGTGCAGGTATATACTTGCGGTACCACCCACGGATTCGGACGCGGATCACAAACTGAGGATGATATTTGGAAATGGCCTGCGACCCCAGATATGGACGGAGTTTGTCGATAGGTTCAAAATACCGAGAGTAGGAGAATTTTACGGCGCAACTGAAGGCAATGCCAATATAGGTAGGTATCCATGCATAGGCCAAGCCAATAAAATTTTTACTTGAAAAAAGTTCTATATGCGAGATTATTGTAAAATTGTCTAAAGGAACATAATACAAGACATCTCTCGTCTTGTGAGTCAAAAAATTTTATTAGCTAACTTTTCTATTTAAACAAATAAGTGAGGAAAACAGTTTTTTCACTTTGCAGGGAAAACCATCAATTTTAGCGAAAAGTGACTCTCAGACAGCTTATAGGGAGTAAAATTATCTACAAAATGAGACTTGTTAAATTAAAATCGGTTAATAAACAAAAAAGTTATTGCAAAAAAACAAGAAAAGTGCCCATTTTTTAATTTGTTTATAACTATCGCATTTATTGTTAAAATTTTATAAAACCTATGACAAGTTGAGGGTTTTGTCATACTTTAAAAGTGTGCCAAAAGTGGGCGCTGTAGGTGCAATAGTTTTCGCACAATTCTATTTGTTTATAACGGAGGCTCCAAAAGTTATGAACTTTAAGCCTCTGTACAGGCGTTAATTTTCAACCAAACATGATTCTGAAAGCGTTATTGTAATCTTAAAGACGTAATTGAGCGACCTATTAAAAAATATCACCGGTTTTTTGACATTAACATTCTCAAATTGTGCATTAAAAAACTGTGCGTTTTTCGCTTAAAACAATTTGAATAAAATTGTTGCAATTTATGCTACCTAACCGAAAATAGATTCAATGGATAGCAGGCAAAAAAATACAAATCGTTTAAAAAAAAAGCACCCTCTACGACCAACAGGAGCCAAGGTAAGATTTTTTTTTAAATTGTAGCGCAATGGTTTATAAACATTAAGACATGAATTTTTTGCAAAATAAAGTTTACGACGTAAAATACGATTTCCCGTGAACTGCATTGAAAAATGTGGAAAATTAACGACTTACGAGCCCTTTATAGAAAAGATACTTGCTAAGTAGACTGTCTGGCGTGGTGATGGTGGAAGCTCGTCTAAGCAAGTCGCGCGCGAGAAAAGTGAAATCCAAAGTTCAAATTAATGTGTGCTGTAAAATTTTGCAATATCTCGGATTCTATTCATCGTAGAAACTTCTTTTTTTTATTAAACTGGGGTAGCTCGACGAAAAAATAACAATGGGCATATTTACGAATTTGTAGAATAGCTCTGAACTCCAGAAAAAATGTATTTTTACTATTATTAAATAAATAAATGAAGCTATCGTTCATGTTTTTTTTTTTAAATTTGTATTTTTTCGCCAGCTATCCATTGAATTTATTTTCAGTGAGGTAGGATAAATAGCAACAATTTTATTCAAATTGTTTATAAGCGAAAAACGCACGGTTTTTTAATGCACAATTTGAGAATGTTAATGTCAAAAAAACGGTGATATTTTTTAATAGGTCGCTTAATTACGTCTTTAAGATTACAATGACGCTTTCAGAATCATGTTTGGTTGAAAATTAACGCCTGTACAGAGGCTTAAAGTTCATAACTTTTGGAGCCTCCGCTATAAACAAATAGAATTGTGCGAAAACTATTGCACCTACAGCGCCCACTTTTGGCACACTTTTAAAGTATGACAAAACCCTCAACTTGTCATAGGTTTTATAAAATTTTAACAATAAATGCGATAGTTATAAACAAATGAAAAAATGGGCACTTTTCTTGTTTTTTTGCAATAACTTTTTTGTTTATTAACCGATTTTAATTTAACCAGTCTCATTTTGTAGATAATTTTACTCCCTATAAGCTGTCTGAGAGTCACTTTTCGCTAAAATTGATGGTTTTCCCTGCAAAGTGAAAAAATTGTTTTCCTCACTTATTTGTTTAAATAGAAAAGTTAGCTAATAAAATTTTTTGACTCACGAGATGAGAGATGTCTTGTATTATGTTCCTTTAGACAATTTTACAATAATCTCGCGGATAGAACTTTTTTCGAATTTCTCTTTTATTTTCGCTAATTTTTGTGGTGTAGCAATGTTTAAGGTAAAAAGTAACAAATCTAACATTGAAGTCATTGTTTTCTTTAAAAATTGTACATAACAAAGTTATTCGAGAACTCAAGAAATGCATAAATACGGGGTTTATCATTATTTCCGCCAGTGTTCCCAAATCGTGAGATTTTTCCCGACTCGTAAGAATCGTCAATTTCTACCCTTAATTCCCCTCAATTTTTTTCTAGTTAATGTCGACAACACGGTGGGATCCATAGGATTCATATCGAGAATCATCCCGTCAGTATACCCGATATCGATAATAAAGGTGGACCCAAACACCGGGGAACCAGTGAGAGACGCCCGGGGCCTTTGCATGACTTGCGAACCGAACGAACCAGGTGTGTTCATTGGAAAAATCATCCCCAACAATCCTTCCCGGGCGTTCCTGGGTTACGTCGACAAAGAAGCGTCCCAGAAGAAAATCGTCCGCGACGTATTCACGCACGGTGACAGCGCTTTCTTGTCGGGAGACATTCTGGTGGCCGACGAATTGGGAAACCTGTTCTTCAAAGACAGGACAGGCGACACTTTCAGATGGAAGGGGGAGAACGTGTCGACGTCAGAGGTAGAGGCGGTCATGAGCAATTTGGTGGATTACAAGGACGTCGTTGTGTACGGGGTTGAAATAAGGGGGCAGGAGGGTCGAGCGGGTATGGCGGCCGTTTTTGACCCTGAGGAAGCCGTCGATCTAAACAAACTAGTAGGTGGTGTTAAGAAGACCCTGCCGTCATACGCTAGACCAATTTTCGTTAGGATTCTAAGTAAAATAGATTTAACGGGTAAGATTTCATCGACTTCAGTTACTTTTTAAGTTAATTACGTTTTTTTTAGGGACATATAAATTAAAGAAGAACGATCTGCAGAAAGAAGGGTTCGACCCGTCGAAGGTTAGTGATAACGTTTATTATTTAGAGAGTTCTACGGGTACTTATGAGAAAGTGACACCGGAAATTTACGGTAAGATCAACGATGGGAGCATAAGGGTATAGTGGTAGTTAATTCAAGGGACAATTTTTACTTTTGTGTGCACTGTGATTATTCTCGAATCGACTGAAACGGAATCTGAAGAACACATCTAATATTTGTACACTACAAATGATATTAGGAGTACATATTTTTTATATATGACTTTTTTAGATATATTTAACTTTTTCTTTATTACTACATGGTTGTGTTTCATTGATTATGTATTGTTATCAATAAAAGTATTTATATGTTGGTTTTTATGTTTTATCTGTAAAAAAAGTTGTCATGAGCGCAATTTTATGTATGGGTGAGATATAACCTACGATAGCTCAGTATATGACGGTTTCTAGGTCCGAATTCTTGACACATGCACCGATTGACGTGAAATTTTAACGGTAAGTAGAAAATAGCTCAAGAAACAAAAGTTACACGGTGCCAATGTGTGTTTCCACCCTGGGAGTGAATGCCACCCCTTCTCAGGGTGGCAATGAAGGCACCCATTTTAATAGCAAAAATCAATAGCGGGATGAATTCTAAGTGAAAATTGCTCTATAACGTTTTTTCCAAAAATTAATATTTTCCGAGTTATTTGCGATTGAAAATGTTGATTTTTCATCTAAAAAGTGCATGTCTCAACCGTTTTTGATAAATAACCCGAAAACCTTGCGTTTTATCGAAAAACCCATATTAAACAAAAATTAAGCTTTTGAAATAACGAATCGATTCATTTATTGTTGATTACTGTAGATGTAATAATAACCGAGTTACCACTCTCTAAAGGTGACTGTTTATTTTTCGGAAAGTAAAATCGAACCTTTTCCCGTAAAATAATGGCGAAACAACTAATTTTCCCAAGAAAATGATTATAATCTTTTTTAAAGTGCTTGGAAAGACCTTTTATTGAAATGTTTTTTGAAAAAAATTCGTAGCCGAAAAACTCGCGGAGTTATGATGAAAATAAAATGGTCATCTCATTTTTTCGGAGAAAAAATCAACAATAAAATATATGGCTAAACCATAAAAATTGAAACTAAGCGTAATCCATGTACAGTTGACTTTATTTAAGTACTAATAATAGGCTCTGTAAGTTTGACAAATTTAGAATGCCTGACTTAAAAAAAGAGTTTGAAATTATGAAAAAAAAAATTTTTTTATATTTACAAAAATTTCCTTTTTTTCAAAATAACTCAAAAACTATACAAGATACGTGAAAAATGCGAGGGTTTAAAATTAAAAGTCTTTTTTTTATAATTTTGCGTTCTTTCAATTTTTCTGTAGAGCAAAAATTAACCGAGATATTACGTTTTTTAAGCACAACTTTCTTTGAGCCTTTAAAACCTAAAAATCTCGAAAACAAAGAGTTCAAGACCCTTCAACTATAAAGGTTGATTTGTAGCTTTTGCAATTTCCTGCAAATTGCTTTTTGGAGCGATGAAAAATATTAAAAATTAAAAAAGTTATCGTGAAATAACGAATTGTATTATTCAGTGAAAATTGTCGGATCGTGTAAATGGAAACATTGCAATGAATCATCAGTAATATTATAAACAGTGACGAGTCATTCATTCATTATAAATGCTATGAAGATGCGAAAAAAATGTTTTGCTTTATTTTCTGCAATAAGGGTGGTTTTTAAGGGTTGAAACGTTACAATAAATCAAAAATTATTATTCAAAACTATAGAATGCTTATTCTATTGACATAACACTTAATTCTATGGTTTTTACGTTTTTTGAAAGAAGGGGTAGTTTTCACCCCCTAAAAATAAGCACACATTATGGATATGTAACTTTTGTAAAGGAGGGTGAAATGAGCTTACTCACCAATTTTCACGGAAATCGATGCGTATGTCAAGAATTTGGAGGTAATACTCTATTTTTACCATTGTTATTCAATGCCTACTCGCACAAATCATCACTTAGTGCCTACTGGCAAAGGGTGACCTACTAACCTGTAAAAGTTGCAAAAGTTTAACATTTCCCTGCTTAATACTTCTTGTTATTTTTCCGTCCTAACCATCGTCTCTTTCTTCAGTTTCCAATCGTGTCTGTACGTCCAACACAATTCAAAAAATTTTATTTTAACATTTCAAACTCGACAAATATTTAAGGTTATATTCACATTTAGACTCTAGTGAGTTTTAGGCAATGATCTACATAATTTCAGTGTTTAAAATGGTCCATATTTGCAGTAGTGATAAATTAATTGGTATACGGGGAGTGTCCTCAAAATGCTGCAATAGCATCTCGATTGTATGCCGAGTGTTTTTCTTTGGACGTAATAACCGTAATTGGGACAAAGGAACAAGCGGACATGTTAGTTTACTTTAGTAAAATAAATAAGCCCTTTATTAGCAAAATACCGCAGAGAAAGCATTACCCCATTTCTGTATTCATCGCTATTTAATCATGATATTTGGAAAAATAGTTGATAAAGATATTACCAGTAAAAAATCACACAGCAAGGTTCTTTAATTCCTTCAACAATTCCTCTTCCCCTTTGATCTTCTCGATCTGATTGATCTCCAAAGTTTTCCCTTGGGCTTGCTGTTGCTTGAGCTTCTCTATAGCGTCCAGTTTCTAAAACGACAGATTAAAAATATGAAGCGACACGCGGAGAAAAATACATTACCTTCTTAATGTTCTTCAACTTTTTATCCAGTTCTGGATCTCCAGTCAAATTAATTTGTACTGTACTCGACACTGCGGGACCTTTAGGCTCGTCTTCGCCTCCTTCTAATTTTTTGGCCTTCTTGGCTTCTCTCTTCTTCTTCTGTTTAAGGGCGGCTTTTGAAGGCGCCGAATCAGCCCCTACAAAGAAATATCTCAAGATTCTAACCTAATCGAGAGTTCTATATCACTCTTCCATTCAGTTTTGCTCCCCTCACTTGTTTATCTTAGTCCCCGCCCACTTCTGCCTTACTTAACCAATCAGTGGCCAGAGAGTTCTAAATCCCCCAATCAGAGGATGGAGAGTTCTAAATCACTCCCCACAACACATTTATCTGCCCTGCCTTCTGGAAGTTAGTGGAAGGAGTGGTTTAGAGCTCTCCGACCTCTGATTGGGGGATTTAGGGGACTGGTAGCCATCGATTGACGAAGTAAGACAAAAGTAGATGTTAGTACCTGGTTTATGGGCCGCTTCCTCGTCGTCGTGGAGACTGAACTTAACTGCGGGACGATTTCTGGCCGACGGAGGCCTATATGCCTGCGTGGAGGCCTGCGGTTGGCTGGGGGCTATCCCTTCCACTTTCTTTGTGGTGATTATTGGATCTTTAAACGCTAGTTTTGGATAATTCTAAAATAATACATTGACATAAAGAAATATTTCAATAAAATATTTTACCTTCCAAATAATATCGTACAATTCCTCTTGTTGGGGTGATGGCTTTTCATACAATAGTACTCCGGTGTAGTGCCAAATTTTATAACCGTTGCTGGTTCGTAAACGAGGGGATGTAGTAGCGGTCAAGAAGTGTTCACCATCAGCCGCCCATTCCAGCAGCGTGGTTTCGGGGGCATCGCAACTGCCTACACGTTTATAATTAACAAACAAGAAGTCAATAATGTGGCTGGAAACACTCAGAATTGCTACACAAACAGTTTTTTTTAATTTAACTGACTTTTCTATATGCCTGATCATTATAAAATTCCATGACTTCTCCCGGTTTTCTAACATGTAGCCCTGACGACTTTGTTTTCAAGATAAAGGCTGCTTATCATTTGGAAAAAAAAATTTGAACACCCAGTATCCCAAAACGATGCATTTCGGAACAAATTTGTGATGCAAAATCCACCGATAAAGTATAACAAACAAATTAACTTTTACTTACCTATTTTCTTCCTATTAACGGCATCCCACAATTCTATCTGTCCCCTTAAGTTCCCGAAACCTCCGAGCAACAGTATATTACCCTGCGGGTTGTAGTAAACGGAATTCTTGGCAACACTACCTAGTTCGAAGACTGCTTCACACTTTAAATTGTAGATTGTCGCTTTTGCAGGCGTGAAACCGTAAATAACGCAGAATTCTTGATTTTTTGGCGACCACTGCACGCTGTAGATTGGGCCTTCTTTACCTAAATAGTGGGAAATATAGCACGATTCCTTAAAACGTAATTTTTTACTCACTAGGTGTTACCATGGAAGTTTGGCCGTTTAAACCAACAAAGTGAAGTCCTTGTTTTCCGTAGTACGAACCTCCAGTCTTATCGACTTCCGTTGATGTAAGTAAAAGGGCATTGTTTCCTTTGGAATTCCAGTAAAAGTCTACCTTGTCTGCTTGGAAGAAACTTTTGTTTGCTAGAGCCTGCTGTTCATCAAAGTTCGGATATTTAAATAATCTAAAAAAAAATCGCACTAATTTTTAAAGCAACAAAATCTTTTCTCATTACTTTTTACCTTCCGAAAGAAGGTTGTCCTGGAACGCCAGGGGTATGGCAAAGTACAAAATAAGTACCAACATTGGGTGAAATTTTATAAGAAATAATTTTGTGACAATTTATTCTAGTAACGATTCTTTCAAAATTGAGATCTTCACAAAAAACAACATCCGTATTTACCATTCTCGCAAATAGCTTTTCGTCTGCACTCCACTGAGGTTCCCTAGAAATAAAAACTAATTAATATTTGCTACATAATATAGAACATTGTTAATAATTAACCAGTTGCTCTGTTTCTTATGCACAAAACTCTTTTCAAGTTGTCCATTTTCGGCTCTATAAATATTCAGGTTTGGAGTGCCCTGTGGATTGGCATTACTAACTGTGAAAGGTTCCCAACTCATCAAATAAGTGCTTTTTGGAGAAAATGCCAAATGGTATGCCTTAGTGTTTTCAATTCTTGCCACCTCCTTCCAATTACTTGTCTGCACAATCTTCAAACTAAAAACGTACTTGTAACAGAATTTAATTAAGCAAATAATTTTCCTTACATTTGTCCATTTATGTAAGCAAAATACGACCCATCGGGACTAAATAACATGGACCTGCATGACTTGCTTTGCACCGAGTCAAATTCCTCCACATTTCCAAAATTTGGAGGTCCAAATGATAAGCTTATGCCAGATGAACTGCGAGCTAAAAATAAACTTTTAACAATAATTTTTATGAATATTTGGGAAATTTACCAGCAATCGGAATAGATGTCATTTTAGGTTATGATTTCACACGTGTTAAAAATTCATTTTTCTCTATTGTTTTAAATTATAAGGGAGGTCAAATTATAAAAAGAAAATCATTAATCGAATTATGTTGAGAACCAAAACAATAAGTAAATAATGATAATTTTTTTATATTAAATTAAATATCACCCACATTATAGCCACAACACGGATGCCATTTCATTCGACAAGAATGACAGATGAAAACTGTCATTTGTCACTTCCCAGTAAATTGTCATTTTACAAATGTTGCCAACCGACAAGGTTCTTTAATTGAAAAACTTGGCACCTACTCGTCGATGGAGCTTTCTGAAAAAAAAATCTAGGTAGCCATAGCCACAGATCACAGAAACAATTAGGTAGCTCAGAGCGCAGGTCTGCAGTCTCTAAATTTGAGGTTGTGTTGAGAGTCGATTGATTATTTTTCGAAAAATGTATACATAAGTAATAAATAAATGTGGAATCCGTTTTTGGAAATGTGTTTGTGATTATTGAGAGAAATAAAAAATGTATACGTTAATGACATGGGCGTATCTCCTATTATTTATAAAATTCGTTCTAGCCTACAACCGTGATGTATTTACAGAGGAATTACTTATTAAACCTCTCTACAGCGAACAATTGTATGCACATTTTCAGTTTACTACAAAATGGAATACTGATCCAGAAACAGAAACATGTAAGAAAATTATTTGAAAGTCTATGTCTACATGTATATTAAATTATTTTTTTTACAGTTAATCATACTCGTATATTTCCAAGAGCACTTGGTGAGATAGTTAAGAGGTACAACATACAAGAACTGCACGTCAGTTTAACAGGAGGCTTATGGAGATATGAGAACTGGGGATATCCTATAGTTGACGCAGCTCCTGGTGCTGAAGTTTGGGCGTGGTTTAAATCCGATACACCCGATGTCGATAAAAACTGGAAACTACTGGCTAATTCACTGTCTGGTTTGTTGTGTGCATCCTTGAATTTTATCGACTCTTCGAATAGTATTAGCCCTGAATTTACATTTCAACCAAGAGGCGCTACCGATTCTCCCAGTATAAATAATACTTATTTACGGTACGCTAGTTTGCCTCGTGAGGTGGTCTGTACGGAAAATTTAACACCTTGGAAGAAACTCTTACCATGCGACTCAAAATTTGGTCTAGCGTCTTTGCTAAATTCGGGATACATACACAATACACGATACCATTCCATTGCACTTCACTTACGCCCCATCTGCAGGGACAGCACGTGTCAAAGTCTCTCGCTAGAATTGCAACAGTCAGTGTCGTTAGTGTACGATTACTTGCTGTTAGGTTCTAAGAACTGGTCTTTGAAAAAACTTTTCGGGCAGGGAGTGTCGAAGAATTGCCCTCTGGCAAGTAGAAGTGATATTTTTGTAGACACGACTAGTTCGGGCACCCACAGTTTCGAGTTAAGTCCTCCGCCTCATGAATTCGTAACTTCTTTCAGAGGAGGCCACGAAAGCACTTTCGCCAAATACAAGGTACCTAATTATTTTTTCTTCATAAGTGCAAATTACAAGGAGCCGCAAAGCATCGCGCTGTTATTTCCTCCACCTTTACACGCTAATCAGTACTTGACGGGTTACGGACAAGAACGCGGGGGTGTTGTCACTAAAATTTTTAACAACCACTGGGCCCATTTAGACGTGGTCGTGTTGCAGAACATTCCATGGTACGTTCCGATTTATTTACATACCCTCAAAGTGGTGACGGACGGTTTGGAGACGAACCCCGTCACTTTGCGATACATTCCAGGCAGGCAGAGAGAACGGGCGTATTATTTAGAAATTCTCTTGAAACTGCCGCCTCAGTCGTCTACGTCGATTTCCATCGACTTCGATTACGTGTTCTTGAAGTGGCAAGAATATCCTCCGGATGCCAATCACGGGTTTTACATTGGATCAGCTATCGTTTCCACGAACCTCCCACTCGCTAGAAACTACACTGGATTGCCACAAGATGGCTCCACTCTAGCTGACAGTTTTAATGCGTCTCGAAGCGGGTATTTGGTGCAAGTTCGCACCGAGACCATGGTTATAACCTTACCCACTCCCGATTTTAGTATGCCTTACAATGTTATCTGTTTGGCTTGCACTGTGGTGGCGTTAGCCTTCGGACCTTTGCACAATATTACCACTAGGAGGCTGGCGTTGAAGCCAAAACAGAAGGAGAAGCTGCCGGCGAAGTTGAAGAGGATTTTGACCGAGTTTTTGAAAAAGTAAAGAATGCGCAACTTTGTAATGTTTTTTGGTATTCTTTTTATAATTTCTTACCAAAAACTAGTCATTTTGTTAAATAAACTGAAATAAAACAAGGAAAGTCTTTTTTATTTTAATCTAGATTAATTTAGTATTGTATGTCATTCAATTAGTATTTTAAAGAGTGCAACAATCTAAACTTGTAAAATATATTAAAATTAGTGTGGGTGTATCGAGAAAAATATTTATGATGTAGCACGTTTATCATCGATCTCGCAAACGGATGTGGACAATGAAGAGAAATTTCATTAGTTTTTTTCAGAACTAAGTTCGTAAGGTCGTCAAAGCATTCATATTCCAAGAGTCATGAATTTTAAATACATTTATTAGACAATTCAATGGAAACAATGTTGAAATTTAATAATATCCACTCATAGATAAATTCATCTCCTTTGGTTATTTACATAAGTCAATGCCATGTTGCATCAGAGCAGTTTGGTAGACATTTTACAATAAAGAATCAAAACAGAAACAGCAATAATAACGGTACAAACAAACAGGCAATAATACGTTAGATATGTTGATAAAATATTACGGACAAAAATTAAAATAAGTTGCAGGTTAAAAATATTTAAAATAACAGTGTTAATCTGCGGTTATGACCCAAACTAGACTGGGTGTACTCATCTATCGAGTAAAAAGCATGTTGGGTAAGAAACCGCTTTAGGTTCCGTTTAAATTTATTTAGATCCATAATTGATTTTAGGTTTTTTGATAACCAGCATATAAAGGTGATTTTTTGTGCTAGTCTGTTGATGTGGTTATGATCGTGATATTCACTATTTTTACTTAGTTTTCCTTTATTAATGAAGGTATACAACAGTTTATAAAGTAGATGGAAGTGAATATAAGAATATTAGGATTTTAAGTGAATCTATACAGGACTCTCTATGGCCCAAATAAAAAATGAGTCTTATAAACTTTTTTGAATTAATAAGATCCCAGACGCCTCAGTTGCCCTTCCCCATACAATTATATTGCAAGTTGCAACTAAGACCACTATATACCAGGGCGTATATTTAGCATATATTTAGGTCAAAGTCATAGAGAAAGGAAAAATAGAAATCTGTTACCTTTGGCTAGTGTAAATGTTTTTATTTGGTTTCTTGTTTCTTTACATCAGTAATATGGAGTATTTTTGAGATATAACCTAAAATCATATGATGTCATGATTGTCATGTCATTTTTAACAATGTCGTTGGTACTTTGTATCTACTGGCATACGTACCTACTTTAACAAAGTGACCTACTAATGTAGGCGCTATAAATGCATGACTAGTGGCACCGGGCAGATTAAACTTTTTAATTAAAGATGTTCTGGGGCCGATTAGCATTGCATTATATCCATAAATTTACGTAGTATAGTATTTAAATCAGTTCATAATAATTAGCATTAAAAAGATACATATGTATATAAACTTTTCTTTATATACAGGGCGTCTCAGGTATTACTGGCATCCCAGCAAGCATAGGCGTATCTAGGGGGGAGCAGGGGTGTACACGGCCCACCCCAAAAAGCCCGGTGCCCACCTAAGAAAAAAAGATCTAATGTTACCGTCTATCAAATCGGTATAAGTCGCTGATTGCGTGACCTTTTTTTTAGAACATTCATATGAATTAACTCTCAAAGGTCACACTAGTGCGAATTCGCACCACCGTTTTTTTTTTGGAACAAATGGCATTTCTCTGGTAGCAGATGCCGAGGGTTTCCTCCACCGTGATAATTCCTTCTACAGCCCAAACATTTGAGCTGTACCACAGCTGGCCTCAGTTTGTTATTATCGGCCAAACTAGAGAGTCTGAAAAGTACCAACGGTGCAAATTCGTACTAGTGTGACTTTAGTGTGGCTGAATCATATGATCTAGAAATAAAGTGAATTGAATTAGCTAGTTATTGTTAATAGTTCTTCAAATGTTTTTTTTCATTAATAATTTAATTGTTACACGTATTTGTCAATATTTATGGATAATACTGTTTAAATTAATATTTTTATACAAAAGAGTATAAAATAAACATCAATTTATAGGAAGGAGCCAAAAATCATAATTTAAAAAAATACATAGGTATATTTGAGATAATGGAAAAAATCGATATCATTTTATCGATATGCGGTATTTTTTTCTTAAAAATTATAGACTTTGAACTTCAAAATCCCTTTTTTACTTCTCTAGCCCTTATTTATAAAGAAATACGATTAAAAAAAAAAAATCATGTTTTGAAAAATGTTTTTTTTAACAAATCAATTTATTTTCAAAATTAATTACGTCATTCCATTTCTCGGAAAATTTTACACCAGTTTTGTTTTCGTTAACAAATAAAGAAGATATAAAGGTTCAAAGTTGACAAAATCCTAATTTGCACTACTGTGACCTTTTAGGTGTCCCATGTGACCTTTGAGGGTTAGATTGTATTGAATTAATACTTTTTTCATTTGATCCTATATTTATTGCTAATCCAATTAGTTTCTAAAATTAGTGCCCTACCTAGAAAATTGCTCCCTATATTTGTTGAACAAAAACTTTCTATAGAAATGCTTAATTTTAGACCGTATAAGAAATCATAAAAAACACGTTTTTCAGTTTAAACACGCTCTCTAATTGTCGGGAATTAAACGCACTGAAGCCTTGGAAATGGAGTTTTGATTATAAAACAAATACTGTAATAAAAAGTAGCAAAATGTTATTAGCTGTCAGAGAGTCGCGTTTTGAGCATAAACAAATGTGTACCAGCTGTTTCATGTAAAACTCCGGGGACAAAGTCCGGGAAAAAATCCGTGGATAAGTCCGGGGAGTACTCCGAGGAAATGCTCCGGGCGTAAATTCTGGAAAAAATCCGGGGGAAAAGCTCCGGGGGAAAAGAGTCCGAGAAAAACTCCGGGGGCGGGGATAGGTATAGATAAATCTCAATTATTTGTAACCAGCGTTCAAATAAAAACGTGGTTAAGTTGGTTCTGAAAATTTGGACGTAGGGCGTAGCGTATAGCAAATGAACTTAAACGTCATCTGTCAAAGCGCTATATCGCCGCTATCAATTTGAATATTTTCGTTTTAAAAAGCGTTTAAAATGGTGTTTTCTCAAGAACAAAAAGTGTTTATCATAGAGTCCTACTTTAGAAATGGACGCAAGATTGATGGAATATGGAAGTATTCTATTGAGGAATGTTTCATAGAATTTCAAAATCAATTTCCCGGCGTTGTTGAGTACAAAATTTTTCAAAGTGCAGTTCAGCGTTGTGTTAATGTTTTTCGTGAAACGGGCAGTGTAACAAGAAAAGAAGGAAGCGGCCGACCTAAAAAGCGGACTGAAGAATTAAAAGAAAATGTCCAACAAATAATGGAAAATGCGCCAAGAACTTCTGTACGTGTTTTATCACAAATGGTGGGAGTATAAGTCGGTACCTGCCACACAGTGTTAAAAAAAGATTTGCGTTTGTTCTCCTATCGTTTAACTTGTCAGCAAGAACTTCATGAAGTTGATTTTCTGCGACAGGCTGTATTTTGTAAATGGCTTTTAAACAACTACGGTGAACTTCATAATATCACCTTTTTTTCTGATGAAGCCTGGTTTCATTTAAGTGGTTACGTAAACTCACAGAATATGAGAATGTGGTCTTCTTGAAAAACCAGATAACTTTTTTGTCGAGGGCCCTCTACACGCTCAAAAAATTGGAGTTTGGTGTGCTCTCAATCGAAGGAGGATTTATGGACCTATTTTTTTTAATGGTACTCTTACTGCGCAAAGGTATAGAGAAGAAATTATCGCTCCTTTTGTTAACCAGCTGGAAGAAAACGAAATTACAAACTTTTACTTTCAACAAGATGGGGCAAGGGCACATACGGCAGGCGAGACTATGAATATGTTGAGGGAAGTTTTCCAAAATCGACTAATAAAGTCTCAATGCTGAACATGAATTTCCACCGAGGTCATGTGATATTACGCCGTGTGATTTCTTTTTGTGGGTTTACCTTAAAAACACTATTTTTGAACTGCCTATTCCTGATTTAAACCATCTGCAGGCTCGACTTATAGACAAGATTCGTGAAATTAACAATACTCCGAGCATCTTAGAAAATGTCTTTAATTCTTTGAGGAACAGGTGTGAAAAGTGATTGGAACAAGGAGGGGGACACTTTCAGCAGCTGCTTTAATTTATTGTTATAACAAGGAGGGGGACACTTTCCGCAGCTCCTTTAATTGTTTGTTATTGTTATCATGATTATTCTTTAAAATAAAGTTATATAGTCATAAACGTTATTGAAACTGACAGCTGCTATACAGCTCGTTGAGAAATGAGGTTAAGTTGGTCGCTATAAGCTACTCCCTACGTCCAATGTGTCAGAGCCAACTTCGACCACGTTTTTATTTGAACGCTCGTTACAATCACCCCTTGCAAGGATTCCAGTAATACTTGAGACGCCCTGTATATTACTCTCCTGAAAAATTACTTAAAGTAACGACGTCATAATGAATAATGAAACGCTAATTAACAAACAACATTTTTATTGAAAATCTCAATTTTATTGATTTAAAAACGGTAATTATATATTTTTTTATTAAAACTTTGTTAAATTATTAGTAGAATATTTAAAACAAGTACTATTTACAGAAAACAAATCAAAAATATTAAACCCATTTTATATTTATCAGTTTTTGACCGAATAAATTGAGAAATTAACCAATGAAATATTTGAATAAATTTCCTAATTTTAACAAATTTTGGCAAAAAAATTGGATAAAGTCTATTGTATATTTTCAAATTGAAATAAACCCTTCATTCCTAAAATCCAAAGGAATGATACTGTCTTCAGCAATTTATTGAATAAAAAAATATTAAACATAAAACGGATTTTGCTCATTATGAAACAATAAACACAAAAAAAAAAACAAACAACACAAACAAAAAAAAAAAAAAATAAAACATAAAACGGATTTTGCTCATTATGAAACAATAAACACAAAAAAAAAAACAGGAAAATTGTTCAGATTAACCAAAATTAAAATTTTAGCTGAACGAGCATATATGTAATGGATTATTTTATAATTTTGTTAGTGTAAGTAACTATATTTGAGAGTACAGATGATATCGGATCTGGCAAATAATGGCTAAATGTGGGCAAGTGCAAAATATGAAAATATGTCAATTAAGTCTTATTACAGCCGTTTTCTATATACAGTGTAGGAAAGTACCGATGGTCTATCAGAAGTTACGTGAGAGCGATAAAGTAAGCCATAGAAATCCATGTGATAGACAAGGAAGGGTATAGTAAAAGCGTCTAATAGTCACGCCTATTCACGCCAAGATCCACTTCTTATTTGTGGAAGGGCGAAATGGGCGGTGACTATGAGAGGCCTTCATTATAGCCATCCTTCTCTATCGCATGGATTTCTATGGCTTACTTTATCGCTCTCACGTAACTTCAGATAGACCATCGGTACTTTCCTACCCTGTATATGAGCCCTAACAACTAAATGGTGGAAGGAGCGATAATTTTGGCAATAACAGTTAATAATATCACAGAACCGTATTTTACATTACCGTCTTCATTGTGGAACTGTTTTCGATAATATTCTTCTTGAAAACTTGAAAAAATTATTAGTAGACATTATTAGAACGCGCGCCGGGCCCGCGCATATGCGTGAACGCCGCTCTCGGACGCGCGCGAATTTTTTGCCTTGAACGTTTCAAATTCGGTTAAAAAACCTCGCGCGACGTCGAGGGCGGCGTTCACGCGCGTGCGCGGGCTCGGCGCTCTTTCTCCCGTGTGCAGGCCGTTCATTAACGTTAACGTTTACTGCTGCTAGCGCTTTTATTACACGAGCTGTCAATGTAAAACTTTTTGAGAATATTATTTTAACTCTTTCTTTAATTGTTTTTAAAATCCCGCTCCGATACGTCCAGTAGTTGATTAACAATTAACGTTATAAAACAAGCTATCTTGGGAACAAGGAGAGGTAGGTGACTTATTTACCGTAAAAATAAGCCCGAATTTATCAGAAATATTATTTGTATAGTTGAAGTGAATTTGGAAAACTATATTTAAAAATTCCATCAGATATTATTAGAGCTCGTACATTCAACATAATCACTCCAGTTTACATTCAACGTATACGCGTTTTTGCTCAACACTACGGTACCCCGACCCGCCACAGGACATCACAGCAGTTATCTATACAATGTACGTTAGTTTATATACATCCCAGCGTTAATAATTAAATAGGAATCTGTTAATTTGGTAATCGCTAATTAGTTTAATTAATCGGTGGATGTCGTCAACGCCAGATCAAGAATCCAACTGAGAAAGCGAGTATCCAGACGGGCGCGTGATTGCTCGTGCTCGAATCGGGAGACTGCCCAACTTCCCGCACCTGAGGATCGGAACTGGCGCCTTTCTGGCAAATATCCCCGCATTCCTCGCCTTCGCAAATGTCGCATAACGTGGAAGTGAGGCCGTTGTAAAATATCCTCGCCCGTCTCGCTAAAAGTAACCCTCGTTAACGAAAAGTAACATCCCAATCCCCTCATACTTACAGCTGTCGTAGTAATCGTATAAAACGACGGGCACGGGCTTCTGTCTGGCGACTTTGTGCGTTCTGAACGCCGATATCGTCGGGCAGTACTCCTCGACGGTTATGTTGTTGAAGTAAAGGTTCACTTTGGTGTTCCCGTGGCTGGTCTCTACTTTTTGTACGTTCTGGGACACTTCCAGGCTAGGCAACGAGTCTACGTCGATGGTGAATCCCGAAGGGAGGGTCACCTCCATGACCGCCATGTTGCTCTCCCTAGTTTCCGACAGGTTGCGGCTCACGAATCTACGAACAAAGTAAAATTAAGAATAAGTCCGCGGCGATGTTAAAGTTACTTACCCCGCGCATATCGAAACCTGCAAGTGGTTTCTGTTGGAGATCTTGTCCACTTGTGGGTCTAAGGTGAACAAGGGCCAGGGCCCGGTGACGTTCACGTTGTATCGGTAGGAGACGCGGAAGACGGCGAGGCCCGTTCCTTGAGCCGTCACGTTTACTTCTCTGGAGTCTTTGCTGATCTGGAAAATGTTTTTAAAAATTTAAAACTAGTGAGTAAAAGTGAAAATTCGAAATTATTCAATTTTCGTGGCTGAAATAATACATAGGTATTGTAGGCTATTGATTATGCCATATGGTACAGAACTGCAACGTTGATGGGTTTTTATTGCATTGAATCGTTCAAATGTTTATTTAGAATGAAAAAACCGATGAGTGCTATTAAATTAAAGGGTGGAAATTGAAGATAGGGGTGAAAATGCAGTTCAATTTCAGTTCTTTAATTGTAATTCGAAAACAAAGCAAAATTTCGCTATAGTTTATAGGAAAAATTATTTAGAGAATTGAATTTCCCATTGAAATAGCTTACTTAAAAAATTAAAAAGGAAAATTTTATGCAAAANATAAGTCATTATTTTGACAAAGCCAAGTTTCTGCACACAAAATATTGATAGGATCTTCAATCAAGTTAGGCTGAAATAATATTCTTAAATTTCTAATTTCTTTGCATCTAGTCATAGGCTATTGATTATAGGATTTTAAAAGGAACTGAGACGTTCAAGATATTTTATTACATGAATCGTTCAAATGGTCATTTTAGATGAAAAAACTACGGAGTGCTATTAAATTAGAGGGTTGAAATTGGAAATAGGGGTGAAAATGCACTTTTGAAGTTTTTGAAATTTAGCATGAAAACGAAACAAAATTTCGGTATAATTCATAGGAAAAATTTTGTAGGGAATTGAATTTCCCATCGAAATGGCTTATTTAAAAAATCTAAAAGAATAATTTTATGCAAAAAATCGTTATAAAACAATTTTAAAAAAGCAAAAAAAAGATTTTTTAATTTTTTTTACTTTTTAATAAAATAATTTAATAAAAACTTGAGAATTTAAGTATAGTAAAGTTGATTAGTAATGTATATACAGTGTGTCCACGGATGTAGTAGACAAGAGGATAAACACTCTTTATAAAGGGTGTTATATAGGGTGCTCATAAATTAAAAAACATGAAAATACTCAAGAGAGAAGTACCATTATTTATTATTTTACACAACATTTTTATAGAACAAATCTGTTTATAACCACAAATAATGTCTTAATACAAATTTTAAAATCAAAATTTTAATTTTGGGAAGTAGCTATACATATTGTAGAGTAAAAGTCAGAATTTTAATTTTTATTTTAAAAATTATAAACAGATTTGTTCTATAAAAATGTTATGTAAAATAATAAATAATGGTACTTCTCTCTTGAGTATTTTCGTGTTTTTTAATTTATGAGCACCCTGTATATCTAATCTAAGATGTTTGTATGACAGTCTCATTTTTTTCGAGGGGCAGAACTTTTATAAAGAGTGACATTTTTCGATAATGTAAAAAACAAAAGAGTTTCTCCTCTTGTCAACTCCATCCATCCGTGGACACACTGTATATAGGTACATTATTAATAAACTTTATTGTACTTAAATTCTCAAGTATTTACTAAATTATTTTATTAAAAAAGTAAAAACAAAAAATCAAACAATCTTAATTTTTGCTTACTTTAAAATTGTTTATTAACGAGTTTTTGCATAAAACTTTCCTTATACATTTTTAAAATAAGCCATTTCGATGAGAAATTCAATTTTCTACAAAATTTTTCCTATAAACTATACCGAAATTTTGCTTCGTTTTCGTGCTATATTTAAAAAACTGCAAACGTGTATTTTCACCCCTATCTTTAATTTCAACCCTCTAATTTAATAGCACCCCGCGGTTTTTTAATTTTTAATGGCCCTTCGAACAAGTCATGTGATGAAAATCCTTGAATGTTTTATTTTCTTCCTTTTTTGCAAAAAGTGAGAATTAAAACGCGACGAAAATCGAAAAATTGACTAAGTTTGAGCGGCCATATATCAGTCAATTTTCATCCAAAAATACTCTACAACCTCTTGTTTTGAAGCAAATTTTGTATACGTTTTTCTCTATGAAGCAATGCTTATACCTATCTCTGCTCAGAAAAAAGTTATTTGCATAAAAGTAAAAATAAACAAAAAATTGAATTTTTTGCATTTTTTTGATAAATTGTTTTTAATATATTTTGAAGTTAATAAACTTTTTAAATTTTGTAAATAAGCTGTTTCGATAGAAAATCTCATTCTCTACAAATGTTTCTCTATGCAATGCCCTCAAATTTTGCTTCCTTTTCAAGATATACTCAAAAAACCGTAAGGGTTGCATTTTCACCCCTACCAATTTCCACCCTCTAATTTAATAGCACTCCGCGGTTTTTTCTTTCTGAATAACTATTTGAACGATTCATGCAATAAAAACCCATCAACGTTGTAGTTCCTTAGTACCCTGGTTTTTAAGACATAATCAATAGCCTAATTGTATTTTTGAAACCGAGAGAGTTGCACAAACTAAATTTGAACAGGCATAGCTAATACAATGCGAAACATCGCCTTAATGTTAAAAATGTTGTCACCGCCGTTTTTGGTGGTAAAAATTCGAAATATTTGGAATTATCCAATTTTCGTGGCTGAAATCATACATAGGTATTGAATTCTCAAATCCGGGAGAGTTGCACTAACCAAATTTGGAAACGACATAGCTAATACGATGCGAAACTTCGTCTTACTATTAAAAATGTTGTTACCGCCGTTCTAGGTGATGAAAATTCGAAATATTTGGAATTATTCAATTTTGTTTTCTGGAAACTGTGCAAAACCATACTTACCGTATCAACTTCTACGTCACCTGTTACGTGGGTGTTGTATAATAATGAAAACGTAATATTGACAGTAGGTAGAAGGAAGCGCAAAAACAAACGCTTACGTGGGGAATTCTGGAAGGAAGCCTAGATAGTTGAAGTGAGAACAGTGTGGAGATGGGACTAAGACGATCGGCGGGCAGTGTGGCAAAATAGTGAAAAATCAAAGTGTTTAACCCGTATTAATTAGCAGGTAATATTCTCTAAGTACTTTATTGATAATAGTTCTATGTAATCTTATGATTGTGATGATTATAGATGTTTAATGATAACAATTCCTCTCTGTATGTTTAGCTTCCATTGCTTTATGTTCAAGGGCATATATTTTTCTAAGGTAAAATTGTTACAATTATTATTAGCGATTGCTCATTATTATTATTACATATTAAAATATATATTGTCGTGACTGCCCAGATATTGCAATAACAACTCCTTTGTTTCACCTTTAACTTGTTTTATCATGATTACGTTGTGCGAAAGGTAAGCACGCGTGGCCAAGTCAGACTTCGCCCGCGAATTGATTGTGAATGGGGTTTTACTTACCCCGCGCATATCGAAACCTGCAAGTGGTTTCTGTTGGAGATCTTGTCCACTTGTGGGTCTAAGGTGAACAAGGGCCAGGGCCCGGTGACGTTCACGTTGTATCGGTAGGAGACGCGGAAGACGGCGAGGCCCGTTCCTTGAGCCGTCACGTTTACTTCTCTGGAGTCTTTGCTTATCTGGAAAATGTTTTTAAAAATTTAAAACTAGTGAGTAAAAGTGAAAATTCGAAATTATTCAATTTTCGTGGCTGAAATAATACATAGGTATTGTAGGCTATTGATTATGCCATATGGTACAGAACTGCAACGTTGATGGGTTTTTATTGCATTGAATCGTTCAAATGTTTATTTAGAATGAAAAAACCGATGAGTGCTATTAAATTAAAGGGTGGAAATTGAAGATAGGGGTGAAAATGCAGTTCAATTTCAGTTCTTTAATTGTAATTCGAAAACAAAGCAAAATTTCGCTATAGTTTATAGGAAAAATTATTTAGAGAATTGAATTTCCCATTGAAATAGCTTACTTAAAAAATTAAANTATTTGTCACATGTTTAATTTGAAGACTGTTGTACGTAAATAATAAAGTTAGGTGTATTTACTCTGATTTTGTTTTATAAAATTAAACCATACTTCCCCTCCTTAAAGTTAGTAGCCAGCGCCTTCCGGTCAATTAAAAATAGATGTATACAACGTGGGTATTCCTTATGTCGATCACATATTTTTGGCCACAACTACGTCTATTATTTCTTTGATCGAACCCGGGGTTGTTATACTACAAAACATGTCAAAACCGAGAGAGTTGCGTTAACCAAATTTGCGAAGGCACATAGCTAATACAATGTGAAACATCGCTTTAATGTTAAAAATCTTGTCACTGCCGATGTTGGTGCTGAAAATTCGATATAAGTATTCGGAATTATAGTTCATACGAGAAGAGAGTAGTGGCAAAGACGTTTTTTTAGTGTATGAATGAAGGAGCACAATTGTCCAGGAATAGTCTAACCATGGGTACAAAGATATGTCATCAACAATATGAATGTTTTAAATCGAGTAAATGGCGGCAAAAGTTGTCACTTTATGTATAAAGGCGGAGCGTTGCCAGGGAGGGGTCTGCATCCTAGACTAAATATCGCGTTTCGTTCAGTTTACTTATATCTTTTAGGGATTCGTATGGGCCGCTACATCTGAATAAATTTAGAAGGGTCTTCTTCGAACTATGCCTTGCGAATTAATAAACGTCGTGTATGTGAAATGATTTTGTTGGGACGGAGTTCCTATCAGTCTAAAAAACATTGAGAGTCAAATGCATAAAAGAAATCAACGCTTACATCTTACACCTGCCATACTGGGCATTTTTATTATTAATTTTTATGTTTAAAATCCATTCACAACGATATGAATCAGTCAGTTTCACCACATTAAATAGAATAGAAAAAAAGATACTGTTTCTTACCTCCGTATTGAGCAGGATCATTATATTGTTCTTGTTGACGCTGAACTTGCCCGTTCCCTCCTTTCCATACTCAAATTCCACTTGCATGTTAGTAGGACTGGCCAGTCTGGTCACCAGCTTGTACAGGGCATGCAAGCCGACGGCAGTGTCCTGGGACGAGGTGAAACCACCGAGGCTGTTCTGTTGATTCAGCAACCAATCTAAGACCGGAACAGCGTCGGAGAGTAAATTGGCTTCTATGAAGGAGAGCAGTCCGTAGGACGTCGTCTCTATATCGATGGATCTAGGTAGGTTCCTCCAAGGATTCTTGTCTTCATTGGAAGGGGTGTCTTTGGCCCACCACTTCACGTTGCCTTTGGACTTTGATTTGGCGTCTAGTAGGTTTAGAACTCCCAGCTTCGAGCTGTGCTTTGCTAGTTGAAGGGCGTAACTGCACAGAGATATAGTGTACGCTGATTCCTGTTCGTCTATGTTTCTGGCTATGTAGTCCAGGCCTTTGTTTATGGCGTTTGTAACAAGAGGGTTGCTTCTCTGAAATGTTTTGTAGATAGATTTAAGAGAGTTAGTCCAACCAAATTACCCTTAGAATTGTTACCTGTACTCTTAAAAGTGGAAATGGTGAAGGAGCTTATAATAAACGTAAAAAAATAAATGCGGGGATGGTGGAAGGTTGAATTGGAGGGTTGAAAAAGGGTGAAGAATGGTATTATTGCGATTTTCGGCGAAAGTTGACGTCAAAAAAAAAGTATCCAATATAAAAGTTATAGATCATGAAAAAATCTAAATCTATCTAAATCTAATTACAACTTTTGTACAAGTCACTTTTTTACATAATCTCAAAATTTCGGAGAAAAATACGAAAAATCGTTTTTTTTTTGTCTTTTTCCCTTTTTTATTTTTCATGTCCGCAAAAATAATTTAATTTTGACGATACTTGGTGAAAATATACTTTTCTGTCTTAAATAATTACAATTTTTTTCTAACAAAAAAAATTTAAAAGTTTCAAAGATATTCATTTTTTCTTTTTCGAAACAATTAAAAAAAATAATCTAGAACAATCATTGTACAGGATTCTACCTGTGTTCATTTTTTTGGTTTTAACATAATTATACTTTTTGATAAAATAAAAAAAAAACGTTGATACTTAATTTGATTAAATTTTTTAAAAATTTGAAAAACTTATTCCGCCATTCAATAGTAGGTACAGAAAAAAATACTGTCACAGAATCAAGTAAAGAAGTTAGTTAAAGTGAAAAACTGATCAGAAATTTCTTTTATATTTAGAAAAAAATGCAAAAAATTTAGAAAATCATAAAAATTGTTTAAAATAAAAACAATAAAGTTTTTTAATATTGATTCATTTACAGAAGCAAGATAAGACCTTAGTCCAAATTTTACGTCAAAACATTAATTTTTCCCAAAGTTATGGTATGTCAAAGGTCAAAGAATCAATCACCTGATTCAACTTTGAGATGTGCTTTGGGAAAAATTATTTTTACGTGAAATTTGAACTGTACAAAAAATAAATTTTCGGGTCAAACAATGAAACAGTTTTTTTTTGTATTTTATTCCGTCCAATTGAATGGTGCAGTCTTTCAATTTTTTAAAAAATTTAAACAAATTATAAACTATTACTGAAAAATTCATTGTTGCAGGATTTTTTTTTGCATTTTTGGGCATGTTTTTGAATTGTGATTATACATTTTCTTTGTCTTAACAAAGAGTATGTATATCAAAACGAAAAAATGAGCACCGGTAGAACGTACTGCACGATGATTTTTCTAGAATATTTGTTTGAAAAAAATATATATATTTCGGACCGGAAAAAATGAATACCTCATAGAAGGTTATAAATAGCATATGGCAGATTGACAAGGATTCATAATTTGTTGAAAATTATTTGTTATAATTTTACCCAGTATGCTAAATGTTATCAATGTTTTAGAAAGGAAACATTATATTAATGAATAAGTCGATCTTCTCTTACCGAAGAATTTATCGTTTTTTGTCTTTTTAGAATTTACTTATTTGTTTATCTTTTCTTATATATTTATTAAATCTTACATAAAGATTTGGATCAAACAATTAAACCCAGTTTCTAAACAAATTATCAACAATTACTGAAAAATTCTTTGTTGCAAGTCATTCTTTGTTTTTATTTCCATTTTTGAGCATGTTTTTGAATTACGATTACACAATTTTTTTATTTTTCCAAAAAATATATTAAGACGAAAAAAATGAGTACGGCAGAACTCTGTATGATGATTTTTCTAAGCTGATTTTTTTTTGGAAAAAATGTTTTTCGGACCGGAAAAAATGAGTATCACAAAAACTTCTTGATTTTTTTATCTAAAAAATTATGGTTATTTAAGACAGAAAAGTTTCACCAAGTTTCTTTTGTATTTTTTTCCATACAATTAAGTGATACAATCAATTTTAGATTTTTTTTTTAAAGTAAACAAATTATCAACAATTACTGAAACATTCTTTGTTGCAAGAGTTTATTCTTTGTTTTCATTTGCATTTTTGAGCATGTTTTTAAATTGTGATTATACAATTTTTTTATTTTACCAAAAAATATAAGTATGCTAAGACGAAAAAAATTAGCACGGCTGAACTTTGTACGATGATTTTTTTAAGCAGATTTTTTTTTTGAAAAAATGTTTTTTGGACCAGAAAAAATGAATATCATTAAGTTTCGTTAAAATTAAATTATATTTGCGAAAACGAAAAATAAAAAGACAAAAAAAGTTTTTTCGCATTTTTCTCGGAAATTTTGAGGTTATGATAAAAAGTGATCTCCACAAATGTTGTAGATTTTTGCATGAACTACAACTTTTGTAATAGATACTTTTTATTTAGCGTCAACTTTCGCCGATATTCGCATTAATACTATTCTTGACCACTTTTCAACCCCCCAAATCTACCCTCCACCACCCCCGCTGCCACATTTATTTTTTTTTCGTTTATTATTAGCCCCTTTACCATTTCCACTTATAAAAGTCCAGGTAACAATTTTTTTCTTTTTTCCCTCTAAATGAGTTATTTCGATCGGTCTAAATTTATTTCTAGTTTTGAGCGATTTTGAATTTGAAATTTGCATTTAAATTCAAGTGAGAAAAAATGTTTGAATACTACTAAATCTATCAAGAATCTCATCTATTTATTATCCCATCGGAAACACTTTACTTGTAAATTGGTTCCCAGAAAAAGATGATTTCCTATTTGGACAATAAACTCATCTGCCGATGAATTATTTTAAAGTGGGCAGTAACTAAATTTAGATCGATTATTTGTTTCGCGCATTTTACCTGGTTACTTTCAATGAAGGACAAGACTGTGTATGCCGTAAGGGCTAAACTATTTCCATCCCTGCTTTGCAGTTCCTTATGTAGGACATTTCCAGTTTCGTAAAAACTGCCGTTTCTGCCTTGAACTTCCAACAACCAGTTCAGTGCGTTTGCTATAATGTTGTCATCGACGTAGATAAACGGTTTGGCTTGTTTCAGTGCGAAAAGAGTATAAGCCGTTAACCTGAAACATTAAAAATTTAATTTTCTTCTATTAAATCCCCACCAAAGACCAATAGACTCTCACCAAACACTTCCGTTACCGTCTCTGGAAGCAAACGGGCTAAAAGACCCATCGTCTCTCTTGTAAGTCAGCTGTGCTTGGTAATTCGTTTCCAAATTTCGAATCGCCTCGTTCTCTATCGTTGGATTGATTTGTCGGGTGCTTCTCAGGTATTGCAGAATGATCAAATCCGGCATGAAACGGACCAAATTCTGCTCTCCGCATGCCGTGGGTAATCTAATGAGGTTTTCCAGATGGACCATGGCAGGTGCGAGGAAACTGCCCACTACCGATACTTCTACCTTTTCCGAATCTTCTACGACGTTCTTAGGAATCGTGAAGTTGATGGACTGTTTGATGTTGCGAGTTTCTCTTAAATCGAGAAGAACCGACTTGGTGTAGTACTCGGTTTCACCGCCAGGCTAAAATAAAACGAGCACAGTTGTAACTATCCTAAGTTTCTTTGAAGATCTCTCTTACCAACACGAGTAACTGCTTCACTGCTACGTCCTGGCTTCTTGGACTGTTAGCGGTTACTTTTATCTCCACAGGTCCTTTCTTTGTCACTAATATCATGAAAGAAACAGAAGTTCCAGAGTTTTTCTTCACGCTAATATTCTTTCTTCGGTATAGTTCTACTTCTAAAACAAAATGTCTTCATAAACGTCACCTATTCACTTTATGTACACTAGACTTACTCTTAGTATCGCTAACTTCATTGGAAACTTCGGCGAATTCGAATTTCTGTCCGGTGTTGTGCAGCGTTACTTCCACATTAACGTCTACGTTCATGTAATTGCTCACCACCACAGGCACAGCCAAAATCTCGCCTACTTGAACGGAATAAGGCAGTTCCAAAGTAACGGCGAAGGCTTTGGACACCTTCAGTTTCTTCGGTAAGGTCACGAGGCCAAGGCCGTGAAGAGGATCCAGGGAAAAACCGGTGATGGTCCAGGTGTTCAGAGAACCTGGGACTCTCCGCCTTAAGGAAGTCTTCCCCTCGTGACCCGAGGAAAAGTTGTTGAAGAGCCAGGTTGGCGCTATGTCGTGAGTGAGGTAGACCTTGGGTTTGTTCCAAACGGGACGAGGGATTCGGCTGAAGGCGTAAGGGCCATCTAGCGGAGGTCTTGTTACGGAGAGGAGGGGGAGGCCGAAGCCACGGTCTGGCTTAACGGTTGAGGAACCGTAAAATACTGGCCGCAAGTAAATGTCCTCCACTGAAAATGTAAAAAAGCAACATTTTAAATGGGAGATTCAGTATGGGCTACTGCTGATGTGGCACAGAATTATTAAAGCCTCAACGCTTTATATGAAGCGGGAAGAAAAAAGGAAATTAATTTAAAATTTGTTTAGATAACAAAACTCAGTAAAAAAATTAAAGCAGTAAAAAAATTTCCAAATTTTTTTAGTGATTTTCAGCTTCAATTTGTTTTTATTTTTAATTTTCTGTACGATTAAATCTTATTGAGATATCGCTATTGAGTGAAAAGTCACCTTTTTTTTATCATGGATATCTTATGAACTAATGTTTGTACAGCCAATGGAAGATGGATTTTAGAAACCCGAATCAATCCTCTTCAAGTACCTTTTTGTATGTTTTAGAAAAAATAATTATACAGCATTAATTAGAAAAAGTGCAAAAAATTACTTTTTCTGCTGTTCTGGATATTCAAACTTTGCAAATACATATTGCGAAAAGTACCAATTTTTGTAGGCTCTCTTAGTTCAATACATGCCCATGAGGCCTGTAAGTTTTGAAATCGGTCGGTCCCTTTTCCTTTTATTATAAAAAATTAAAAGAACAGGTTTATTGCTCTTTAAAACATCAAACTGATTATGAAAACAATTTTTTTCGTTATTTTTTCTCACAGTTTCGCGTTAAATACCCATCAAATATCGAAAAAAAATCCAAATTTTGAAAAAAATCTATTCTAAAATCTATCTAAAAATTGAAAATTGATTTTTAATTTGTATATTTTATTTATTCGATAGTTGACGCAAAATTGTGAGAAAATTAAAATAAATAAAAATTAAAACATTTTTTTTTTCGACATTTGAAATTTTCAATGTAAAATTCAAAATTACATCACAAAAAAAATATGAAAAATAGAAATTTTTTTTTTTCAAAATTGATATTTTTTTAATTCTGATTTGTTTTTCGATATTTGATGAGTCACGATGACACAAAATTGTGAGAAAAATAAAATATAAAAATTTTGAAATTTTTTTTTAAATTCGAAAAAAAAATTTTTTTCTCGACGAAATTTTCAATGTAAAATTGAATAATCGCAAAAAAAATATTAAAAATAATTTTTTTTTTTTCAAAATTGACTTGATTTTGATTGGTTTTTCGATATTTGACGAGTAGTATTTCACAAAATTGTGAGAAAAATAATATAAAAATTTTGAATTTTTATTTAAATTCCTAAAAAAAATTTTTTCTCGACTTGATATTTTCAATGTAAAATTGAATAGATCGCAAAAAAAATATTAAAAATATTTTTTTTTCAAAATTGACTTGATTTTGATTGGTTTTTCGATATTTGACGAGTAGTATTTCACAAAATTGTGAGAAAAATAAAATATATAAAAATTTTGAAAATTTTTCGTTAAAAAAAAATTTTTTTCTCGACATTTGAAATTTTCAATGTAAAATTGAAAAATTGAATTTAAAAAATTTTTTGTTAAATCAAAAATATTTTTTTCAAGATTGATTTTTTTTAATTTTAATTTTTTTTCGATATTTGATGGGTATTTAACGCAAAATTGCGAGAAAAATAAAATAAATAAATATTTTGAAAAATTTTTATCGTTAAAAAAAACTTTTTTTCTCGACATTTGAAATTTTCAATGTAAAATTGAAAGATAAATCGCAAAAAAATTTTAAAAATTTAGAAATTTTTTTTTCCAATTTGAATTTTATTTATTTTAATCAATTTTACAATATTTGATGGTTATTTAACGCAAAATTGCGAAAACTGAAAAATTTTTATTTTAAATTTCAAAAAAAAATTATTTCTCGACATTTAAAATTTTCAATGTAAAATATAGTTTTGAAAAAAAAAATTGTAGAATTTTTGTAGGTATGTCAAAGAAAAATATCCATAAAAATCCACTTTCTTTTGCTATTTCTATACGGAAATACTACTTGTGCCCTGTTATTCACATCAATAAACTCAATACTCAACTGTTCACATGATTTTCGAGACAAGACAGTTTGTTGCAAATAACTGCTTCAAAAATTATTCTGTAATATTGGAAAATAGGTTTCAGGCAATCAATATAATCTCAGTATTTTAAAATATTGACAGAATTATTGGTAGAGTGAGGGCAAATACACACAGCCAATATACCGGCAACATTTCAAGATACTGAAATGATTCTGTATGTATTGTACGTGGAATATTGTAAATTATTAAATTCATTAATTTATTATATTCATAAACTTTAATTTTCTTAAGGTATCAAAAGTTTTGTTTTTTTCTTCTCAAGATTATAAAAAAATTAACATATATTAATGTATTTCACTCTCTAGATTTTTCTCCATAAGAAAACTATGTGAAATTATATTTCTCGAGTCAGCATAGACCCGATGTTGGTAACCCTAGTTTTCTTTATTATCAAGAAATTTGTGTTTAAGGTGATTTAATTTCTCTAATTTTTTAAGTTGGAATTCAACAAAGTGAATTAGAGCTAGATTTAGCCATCAATATGAACCTTAAAGATTGATGTCGTCTTACTCTAAATAATTTTCTTGACGCTTGGTTTGGCAAACTCACAATTCGTTGGCGCGTGTATAAATGATTAACTCCCATGTGGACACCGATTGTCCAAGTATAAATAGGTTTTAAAAAATTACCATCGCAAAAAGTGAAAAGTTTCTTGACCCAAGAAGGTTTCGATTGCGTATTAATATATTCAAATGTTTTAACTCACGTGTAGGCTGGTACCTGTTGACATGGGCGTTCGTCAAAAGATCAGCTCCAGATTCCTAAATAAAAAAAAAAACAAACTTGTTTATAGAAACTCATACGATTTTATTAAGCACCTTACATAAACAGCCGAATGGGGGTTGCTCGCGCCCGGCTTCCACTCGAACTGTTGCTTGGCGTTCTTCTTGAACTGCGGATACGGCGTTCCCATTGCTGCGTCGTACCTCTTCAGCTCATCGGCTACTCCCTTCATCGATAAATCATAGCCCTCCCTGAGCGAAGCCACATTTTCGTCCACCGCTAACAACCCTACGTAGGAATTCTGTTGGGCCCTTATCGTTAATTCCACATCTAAGTCAGGTTCGGTCTCCAAGGTGTTAACTTGTACATCGACGAAATTCTGCAGCAGTCTATCCACCTCGATATCCAAAGCGTCCCCCACTAACTCTCCGTCAGACCTGACGTAGTACACGATCAAGTGACAAACCGGAACCATGGCGTGCGTGGCCACGAAATGGAATTTGAATTCCCTTTTGTTGTCGACTTGGAAGGTGTTGGTGAGGAGGACGTCTCCACGGCCCATCAGGACGTAGTTGATGTACCGTAAGGGCTCGGTGCAGTTCACCCCAACCTCCACGTCCAAGTTGACGATGGGCCTGTCGCTCTCGAGGCTGACTTGTAGGAAGTTGTTGCTGTAGGACACAGCCGCCGGGATGGGGGAGATTCTTTCCTTTAAGTCTCGGAATTCGGCCTAAAAGTGGCGTCGGTCGTAAGAATTCATTTGCAGTGACAAACTTTCAATAACACCCTATATTTATGTGGTTAATTTTAAGTACTTACTTCTATTCGAAGAGCTGTTGCATTGGTAACCTCCACTGGGGTAATATACTCCAATTTGATCACCCCTTTTTGATCCAGTCTGTGTTTGGTGACTTCGTAAACTTCATCAACTCTTGAGTATCCGTGCCTGACTGTTACATCCAAAGGTCCAGACTTCACTGGCGTCCCATCGTGGTTGGTTACTTTTATCTAAAATACAATTAAATTCAGCGTAACATACATCCTCTATACTGTGTTGCTTACGTAAGCAGTGTACTTCAATCCTGGCTTGAAGTAATTAGCTGTTTTAATCAGTTCCATATGGTAGTCGTATTTGTGGATGTGGACCGCCACGCTGTTGTTCTGCCTACGTCCCGTGGGTTTTTCTTCGACGACGACGTCGATCACAACGTTCCTTTCATACTCGTCGTTTAAACCGAGATCTTTGTCGATGTCGAACTGGACTGTGGTTGACCCGTCTATTTCCAGGACTTTACGATAAGGAGTCTGAAAGATTGGCTGGAGAACTCCCGAGAAAATAGTGGGAAATACCGTGACTGTCACGTTTCCCTTCACCTTTTCTCCGTAGCTGTATCTGAATCAGAAACTAATTAAACTGATGTCTAAAGAAAGTAGAAAGTAGCTTACTTCGCGTCTATGTTAGCGATGATAACGTTCTCCTTGAAAGTTATATGCTTGGGAGTTTGTATGTTGACCATGAACTTGGGCAAAACGTACTCAGCAACTTCCACCGTCTTGTTGTATGTCTGGCCGTGGATCATCACGGATATATTCCAGTTACCCAGCACGGGATTGTCGCTGAGCTTCAGGTCTCCCGTAAACACGCCCCTGATGGCTTCCACCCCCTTCCATTCCTTCACCTTGTTCCCTTGCCCATCCTAAAACAAAAACTTTGTAATTGAGTTTCAGCCAAAGCTGACCACATACAGATATGAAGATGTGCAGGGGTTCGTTTCTCAGTTCAACAGCGGGTTTCAGCTGGGAATTTAGGACGATGGCACGGAATAAGATCTTGGAACCCGGTTGGTAGACTTGCCTGTCCGATTGGACAAAGACTGAGTAGCTCTTGTCGATGAATTCCAAGGGGAATTCTGAGAGAAAGTCCAGACCGCTCGAGCCTTGGACTATTAGTTTGTAGTCTCCATCTGTTAAGTCGCCCACCTAAAATAAAGTTACAGATTAGGTCATAGTGGTTCTTTTTTATTTATCTTGACAAGTACTTACTTCGAGGGCGCATATTTTGGAGGAATACGGCTGGACGATTACCAGGTCCCTGGTGAAGAACGACGTGCCGTTGAAGGAGGTGCCCTGGATAGTGACTGTGACGGAGGTGGGTTCCGAGATGCTTTGCAGGCTAACAGCGCAATGGTATACGCTGTTTGGGCGGATGACACGAGGGCCTATCACGTTGTAGTACCTGATTATGAGACAGGATGTTTCAAATTTCTATTATTTTGAATATAGCACTCTAAAATGCCACATTTTTCTTCATTGGAATAACGCAAAGCCATTTTGACGATTTTAAAGCAAGTGTCACTGTAACTGTCAACAATTAACTCTAAAATTAACAATAGTTCAAAATGACAACCAGTTTGAAACAAATGAAAATATTGTCATGGAGATTCATAGACTACTAATGGGGCCTTTCTTCATAAACGCGTGGCCAATACATTAATGATAAGCTTTTAAAAAATTAATAGTATATTATGTTACTAGGAGTAGAAGGCGATCATTATGTGTTGAGCCCAAAAGTTTGCTCGCCGAGGCGTTAACCGAGGCTGAGCAAATTGGGCAAAACACATAATGAGCCTTCCACTCCGAGTGACATATACTATTTTTTCTTCAAGCGTGAATATAGAAAATTACTAATTTTGAAAATTTATAGCGGATAACGCGATGTTCAATCTCAGCACAAAATAAAATCAGTAGGTAGGTAATACTATTCATTTTATACATTTTATACATTTTATTGATTAATTAAACATGACAGTTTTAACCACTTTATTCATGAATAAAAAAACAAATGTAACAATTATTTTTCTTTAATTTGAATTAAACGAATAAACATTTAAATTACCTACATGTCTATCATCAAACTTTATTTATTAACATGAATATTAAATGTGCAATTTTGTATGGTACAGTTGTTGATATTTAAAGCGCTGCTGGCTGTCTTTTTTTCAAAGTTTACAGTTCTATCGTTGAATACGTTACTTGTAATAAGGTTCTCAGTTTAAGTGTTAACAATTGTACCATTATTAATAGAAAAGTCTTCGATTAAATTATTTTCAGGATCAATATTTACAGTTTCGCTTGATGTACTTGGTTCATTATACTCTAATGGGTTTAATATTTTCATCGCTATCTATTTCTTATTGTTTACAGAATCTTCAATGTATCCTTCAGCGACGCTGGTAGATTTCCATCCACCATGTCCCTTTAGGGTTGTAATGTCTCCACCATTATCAACTAAGATATTTGCCGAGGTTCTTCTAAGGCAATGCCCCGTATATTCATGTGGATTTGGCAACCTTAAAAATGATGCAACATCTTTTGGCACTTTTGAAATTTTATGTATGCCGATTACAACACGATGACAATGGCTATTTTGATATTTAATAAAAAATCTATCAAAAGTTATGTCTTTTGGCCGAAGAGTAGCATATTTTCTGTATAAATTTAAATAAAACTCTCCAATTATGGTAAATGAACGATGTTTTTTAGTTTTTGTATTGGGAATATTTACTAATATTATATTTCCCAAATCTTTTACATCATTAACTTTTACTTGAATGAGTTCATCGCATTTACAAGCTCCTGTGACTCCAAATATTAGTGCAACCTAAAAAATATAGAATTATTAATTTTGTAACAATAAAAAAAAGTTGGAAAATGCAAGGAAATTCTAAAACATGACGTAATTTTAAGACATCTATATTTATGAGTTTTTACAACATTCTTCCAATGAGCTATCTTTATTTCCGAAAATTGTTTATTATTCTCGTAATGGATACTATAAAATAACTTGAAGTTTACAAATTATAACAAAATTTTGTATTACAAATATAAAAAGGTTAAATATATATCTACCTATAATTTAAAAAGTAGGTACATACCTTGGTTGCTAAATACTTATCATCAGGTGCTTTATTCAGGAATTCGACAAATTCTTTTTTAGACAAAACTTTCGACTTTTTTGGCAGTTCACCCCAACCTCCACGTCCAAGTTGACGATGGGCCTGTCGCTCTCGAGGCTGACTTGTAGGAAGTTGTTGCTGTAGGACACAGCCGCCGGGATGGGGGAGATTCTTTCCTTTAAGTCTCGGAATTCGGCCTAAAAGTGGCGTCGGTCGTAAGAATTCATTTGCAGTGACAAACTTTCAATAACACCCTATATTTATGTGGTTAATTTTAAGTACTTACTTCTATTCGAAGAGCTGTTGCATTGGTAACCTCCACTGGAGTAATATACTCCAATTTGATCACCCCTTTTTGATCCAGTCTGTGTTTGGTGACTTCGTAAACTTCATCAACTCTTGAGTATCCGTGCCTGACTGTTACATCCAAAGGTCCAGACTTCACTGGCGTCCCATCGTGGTTGGTTACTTTTATCTAAAACACAATTAAATTCAGCGTAACATACATCCTCTATACTGTGTTGCTTACGTAAGCAGTGTACTTCAATCCTGGCTTGAAGTAATTAGCTGTTTTAATCAGTTCCATATGGTAGTCGTATTTGTGGATGTGGACCGCCACGCTGTTGTTCTGCCTACGTCCCGTGGGTTTTTCTTCGACGACGACGTCGATCACAACGTTCCTTTCATACTCGTCGTTTAAACCGAGATCTTTGTCGATGTCGAACTGGACTGTGGTTGACCCGTCTATTTCCAGGACTTTACGATAAGGAGTCTGAAAGATTGGCTGGAGAACTCCCGAGAAAATAGTGGGAAATACCGTGACTGTCACGTTTCCCTTCACCTTTTCTCCGTAGCTGTATCTGAATCAGAAACTAATAAAACTGATGTCTAAAGAAAGTAGAAAGTAGCTTACTTCGTGTCTATGTTAGCGATGATAACGTTCTCCTTGAAAGTTATATGCTTGGGAGTTTGTATGTTGACCATGAACTTGGGCAAGACGTACTCAGCAACTTCCACCGTCTTGTTGTATGTCTGGCCGTGGATCATCACGGATATATTCCAGTTACCCAGCACGGGATTGTCGCTGAGCTTCAGGTCTCCCGTAAACACACCCCTGATGGCTTCCACCCCCTTCCATTCCTTCACCTTGTTCCCTTGCCCATCCTAAAACAAAAACTTTGTAATTGAGTTTCAGCCAAAGCTGACCACATACAGATATGAAGATGTGCAGTGGTTCGTTTCTCAGTTCAACAGCGGGTTTCAGCTGGGAATTTAGGACGATGGCACGGAATAAGATCTTGGAACCCGGTTGGTAGACTTGTCTGTCGGATTGGACAAAGACTGAGTAGCTCTTGTCGATGAATTCCAAGGGGAATTCTGAGAGAAAGTCCAGACCGCTCGAGCCTTGGACTATTAGTTTGTAGTCTCCATCTGTTAAGTCGCCCACCTAAAATAAAGTTACAGATTAGGTCATAGTGGTTCTTTTTTATTTATCTTGACAAGTACTTACTTCGAGGGCGCATATTTTGGAGGAATACGGCTGGACGATTACCAGGTCCCTGGTGAAGAACGACGTGCCGTTGAAGGAGGTGCCCTGGATAGTGACTGTGACGGAGGTGGGTTCTGAGATGCTTTGCAGGCTAACAGCGCAATGATATACGCTGTTTGGGCGGATGACACGAGGGCCTATCACGTTGTAGTACCTGATTATGAGACAGACTGTTTCAAATTTCTATTTATTTTGAGTATAGCACTCTAACATGTCACATTTTTCTTCATTGGAATAACGCAAAGCCATTTTGACGATTTTAAAGCAAGTGCCACGTTAATTGTCAACAATTAACTCTAAAATTAACAATAGTTCAAAATGACAACCAGTTTGAAACAAATGAAATTATTGTCATGGAGGCAATTACATTAATGATAAGCTTTTAAAGAAATTTGAGATTATTCTATAATAGTGTCGAAAAATTATGCGGTGTTGTCAGATTTATTAAAAATATTAAAATATTGATTTTTGAGGTTGCTTTTGAAATTTTTTCTTACTTATACTATATCATTGAAAAGCTGAAAAAATGCTCTATTTACTCAGCTTAAAATTCAATATGGCGCCCATAAGAACAAAGAAGGTTGATGATGGTTTCTCGCAAACGAAACATCGCAATGAAAATCTAAATACAGTGAACTTCCTCCAAAAACTTGCTATGAAAAGTATTTTCAGATTTTAAAAAACCGTCTAAATAAAAAAGTTAAAAACGATTTTCGAAAACACCACATTTAATTTTTGTTTCAAAATAACTCGAAAACCTGAAAAGCTATGACCAGTCTGCAAGCGCCATTAAGTTAGCAACAGAATTGTCTAAAACTTTCCGCATTTAACCATTTTCCTATCTCTTATAGTTTCCAAGATCAATACGTGCATCACCAAAATGGTCGTCCACAATGTATACCTAATTAACTCGAAAACGACTGTCTTGATTTGAAATAAGGGAAAGTATAATCTTTACGAAGTCAGTTGAACATGTATAAAAACGCCTAGCAATAGAATTTAACTAGTTTCATAGGCGCCCTAAAAAAGTTTTCCGCTAAAGTTAAAAAATTATAATAATTTTATATAGTGTGTAGAAAATTTCTATTATATGTTCATTTGACCAACAACATACTTTAATTATCTATGTCTTCAAACAATTTTATTATACTGATGGTAAATTTTGGTTATGATATATCAAAAAACATTTACATTTTCATTAAAATATATTACTGTACTGCACTGCTAGGCAATTTATGAACAACTGAAATTTATGGCCCAGTCGCCCAGTGCGGGTGTGTTTGTGCGGCGTTTGCTCGCGTGCGCATTCTTTAACTGGTCGTATACATTTCTACCACCTCTACGTTTAGTTCGACCAGGCCTGTATATAAGTATGGCTAAATAAATATGGGAACAAGTTTTTCAAATATTTCAATACTGAGTTGTGCGTAGTCGACCGAACCTGGTACATACTTACTAGTTATTTGGTCTTCAACTGAGATCGGAAAGACTATACCTACATGTTTTTATTTAATTCATTAATTGTCTAAAATTTCCGAATTTTCAACAATAATTTTGAAAAACCTGAAAATAAACAAATTATGATGAAAAAACATCCCTCATTCTAGCCAAATCTACCTTTTCTATAATAATATGAATTTTATTTCAACATCAACGAATTTAAGGTTTATCATGGACTTGAAATTTTTTATTAAAATAACATTTCATTAGCAGTTGTGGTGAAAAAAAAAAAAAATTCTAGAAGGAATGTTCTTTGATTTTGGTGAATATTAACAATCCTCAAAAAGTTTATTACATAGTTTTTTTAACACTCTGTATATAGATGTATATTTTATTTTGGAATGTATGTGACAATGCTTTAGAATATGATTACTCAATTTTTTTTTTGTCGCAGCAAGCTCATTTATTGGTAACGGTTGCCATCTTTCAATTATAATGCAGATCATTGTAGGTTTCATTTTGACATACTTGTTTCAGATAACAGCATAGCGAATACTTCAATGTTTGCACCTACTCACTCTTATTTCTATAGCTGATATTGAGTTGTGAAAATACATGTTTGGTAGGTATCTACTAATCTCTCGGGAGCGTATAGGAGTGATCAAAATAACAGTGCAGGAATTTCCTATAATTTTTGTACTTTTGGGTTCTAACTTTTAAACCACTTTGTATATTTTGATNAAACAATAGGCTGTTTCTAAAGGAGGTGTTGCACTATATAATATAAGTATTATTATACGCTTGAAGAAAAAGATTATTCTATAACAGTTTTAAAAATTATGCGGTGTTGCCAGATTTATTAAAAATATTAAAATATTGATTTTAGGGGTTGTTTCTGAAATGTTTTCTTACTTATACTATATCATTGAAAAGCTGAAAAAATGCTCTATTTACTCAGCTTAAACTTCAATATGGCGCCCATAAGAAAAAAGAAGGTTGATGGTGGTTTCTCGCAAAGGAAACGTCGCAATGAAAATCTAAATATACAGTGAAATTCCTCCAAAGAACTTGCTATGCAAAGTATTTTCAGATTAAAAAAAATCGTCTAAATAAAGAAGTTAAAAACGATTTGCGAAAACATCACATTTAGTTTTTTTCAAAATAATTTGAAAACCTGAAGAGCTAGGATCAGTCTGCAAGCGCCATTAAGTTAGCAACGAATTATCTAAAACTTTCCGCATTTAACCATTTTCCTATCTCTTATAGTTTCCAAAGACTAATATGTGCATCACCAAAATGGTCGTCTACACTGTGTATCTAATTATCTCGAAAACGACTGTCTGTTGATTTTAAATAAGGGTAGATATAGTCTTTCCGAAGTCAGTTGAACATGTATAAAAACGCCTAGCAATAAAATTTAACGATTTTCTGCTAAAGGTAAAAAATTATAATACTTAATTTATATATAGTGTGTAGAAAATTTCTATTATATGTTCATTTGGCCAACAACATACTTTAATTATTTGTATCCTCAAACAATTTTATTACCTATATTGATGGTAAATTTTGGTTATGACATATCAAAAAACATTTACATTTTCATTAAAATATATTACTGTACTGCACTGCAAGGCAATTTATCAACAACTGAAATTTATAGTCCAGTCGCCCAGTGCGGCTGTGCTTGTGCGGCGTTTGCTCGCGCGTGCATTCTTTGACTGGTCGTATACATTTCTACCACCTCTACGTTTAGTTCGACCAGACCTGTGGGTATGGCTAAATAAATATGTGAACAACCATGTTGCTGCGTAGCGACCGAACATGGTACATACTGCCTAGCTCTTTGGTCTTCAGTTGAGATGGGAAAGACTATACCTACCTGTTTTTATTTAATTAATTGTCTAAAATTTCGGAATTTTCAACAATAATTTTGAAAAACTCGAAAATAAACAAATTATGATGAAAAACATTCCTCATTCTAGCCAAATCCACCTATTTTCTATAATAATATGAATTTTGTTTCAACTTCATCGAATTTTTCGTAAGGTTTATCATGAACTTGAAAATTTTTATTAAAACAACATTTCATTAGCAGTTGTGGTGAAATAAAAATAATATTCTAGAAGGAATATTCTTTGATTTTGGTGAGTATTAACAATCCTCAAAGTTTGTTACATAGTTTTTTAACATTCTGTATATAGATGTTGTATATTTTGGAATGTATCTGACAATGCTTTAGAATATGATTCTTCAATTTTTTTTTGTCGCAGCATGCTCATTTATTGGTAACGGTTGCCATCGTTCAATTATAATGGAGATCATTGTAGGTTTCATTTTGACATACTTGTTTCAGATAATAGCGTAGCGAATACTTGAATGTTTGCACCTACTCACTCTTATTTCTATAGCTGATATTGAGTTGTGAAAATACATGTTTGGTAGGTATCTACTAATCTCTCGGGAGCGTATAGGAGTGATCAAAATAACAGTGCAGGAATTTCCTATAATTTTTGTACTTTTGGGTTCTAACTTTTAAACCACTTTGTATATTTTGATAAAATTATGGTACAGTGAACTACATACAGATTAAACTCCAATATTTGTAAATTTGAATAAAAATGTCCAACTGCGAGTCGACTTTTGGAAAACGATTGTATTTTGGTACGATTATTATCTATCGGAGTATAGGTTATTTCGAGAAAAAATTGTATGGACTTATAAAGAATTTTTCACTTCGATACTAATTTCGGAAATGAAAAAATACAAAATACATCAAAACGGCTTGAGAAAGAGATATGAGGCAAAGTAATTTGTATGAGAAGTGTCTTTTTTCTTCCGTAGAACAAGGTAAATAGTGACCCTTCGGGAAAAATCATGCTCCCCTTCAGGGCTAACTCAAATTCAGAGATCTAAGTATACAGTTTTAAATAATAACTTGCAGACAATGAAATAGTTTAACTGTACAATTGAAATACAACGACTGAATGTGTATGGCACTCTTTAGAGCTGCTAAAGTAAACACAGGAGAAATGTGAACGTACATTTTTTGTTTTTATTTTTTCTAATCCGTCACGCCTGAGAAACTGTTTCTTTAAGGAGAAATAATGTTATATCGTGTGAAAGTGGTCAACAGTGTCAATAGTCCAGTCGCTGAAAGCCCAAAACATCGTGATTGTGGTCTTTTTCCATAAACATCATGAAGTTTTTTCATAAATCTGCTACGAAAAAATTTTATTTATTAACAATTATTACTTCGCAAAAAATGCTCTCTTATCTACTTATTATTTCAAAAATGTTTTTTTCAAATTTTCTACAAGATAGCGTCATTCCAACTTTTTTATTACGAAAACAATTTTGCAGTTAACAAAAAAAATGGCAAAGGTAGATGTTTTTCTTAAAATTGTTGACAATTTTCTAAAAAATAAGTTAAGCTTCTTGAAGCTTTTGAAAAATATTCCTCAGTTCATTGCTTCCGAAACAAGCAATTAGACAAATGAGTACTTGCTGAATTATAGTAGTTATCAGTCAAACTTACTTTGAACTTTGGAGTGATGGTATTTTTTTAAATCTTGTTTGTTTACGAAATTTGGCGAGTATATACAGGGTGACTTTGTCATAATTAATTACTTTTAAGGGAAGATAGACAAAAATTAGTAGAAAAACATTTTCAAATCATTATTTAAGTCCCTTTCCGAACCACTCCTGACTGGTGAC